TATGCGTGGGAGTGTTGCGCTTCTGCCACTGTCTACAACACCCCTTCGGGATCAAGCTGCCCTTCACAAGCTCACCGCCAAGCCACAACTGTGTTGTCCTTTGAGATCAGAATCTCATTGGACCCCAAGTCACCGTCCGGGCCACCAGTCTGAAACTTGGTTATCTTGCTTTCGTCCTGTCACACATTGGAGGCACGAGCTGTGAAGGCAAGCTCTCACGAGCACGAGATCGTCCTCTCCGAGCTCGTGCCTTAAAGGGCTGTGAGTTCGCAGCACTTGGAGAAACATGGCGCAACGTGAAGTAACGCAGGCGGGCACAGACATCGCACCAGAGAGCGAAGCCAGATGCCCGGTGGGAGTGACACAGGTGCTTAAATGAATGCGAGATGCAGCAGCTCAGTCACGTAGGTGTGGACGCTCGTGGTGGTCATTGCGTAGGTATCATGGGGCACCCCACCTTCACAGTGTGAGAGTAGGTAGTCCCAGTGAGCTAAACTGCATGTGCTGCATAAACATCATGTCGGCGTTTAGAGTTTAAGGAGTTGTGTACTCAGACAGACGTGCTCGAGACTCCCCCCACCACGTCCTTTCGAGACTAACTCCTCCCATGTCCCCCCTAGTGTGCTGCCCGCATCCATAGACTTTGCCCTTATTGTCTTAAGTTTAGGCACTGCGGGCCTAAAGAGACGCTCTTGCCAGTGGTGAGCGACTTCCAGTACGGATAGCCCCGCTCTCGGGCAATATCCGCCCCCAGGTCCATAAACCTCAATTAGGGCAAGATCAACCCACGACGTTCTGAACATTCGCTGCATTGCTTCCAAGTAGCCCTGCTGTGTTTTCATCGGGCCCAAAGAAGAGGATCTCTTTCTTGCCACGCATGTGACCGTTGTATATAGCGTTCTGTTCCGGTTGCATGCAGTCCAGCAAGGCATTGATATAGTTGATGAAGCACGAGCCTTAGTTGCAACAGGCTGCGCTTTCCGATGAGCGCGCTACCTGCCCTATGCACCAGTTCGAATCAGGCCGCGCATTGCCGCTGGGCTTTGCGAAGAGTTCCCCATTAGAGCATTTCCATCCACATCCTTCGCCCCGGACCAATTAGAATCTGGCAGGATGACTCCCTTTGCTCCGCCTGCATTGTGCCATGCGAATACAATGTAAACGAATTTCAGAACACGAGCAGGGTACAGAGCATCTACCCAAAGATGCCTTCTGGGATGTCTTTGTTTTTGTTCTGCTGCGTGTAGGAGAGGTTGTAGCATTCATCAAAGAGTGTGGCAAAGTTGCGCTCATATGCTGCGACATCGCGGGACATAACCAAGCGGATGCCACCCCTGGCAACATCACGGAATCGCGTGTGAAATCCCACAAAGTCTCGCCCGCAAACCATGTAGATCCTTGGCCAAGGCCGTGGAGTCAAGAGCTGGCAGAATCATTCGGTGCATGAGGGGGTTGGGTTGTCAGATTTGTCCCCAGGATTACTGGACCACCTGCCTCGGGCAAACTGTAGACCGCACAGGCAAGCTCATGAAAATCTGCACAACAACAGCCCAAGACTCCCGTATGGAATCTCAGGATAAAGCGATGCTGGGCGATCCTTCAAGACCACGGCGGGGTCCTGGCAATGACGCACAGAGATGCACAGGAGCACAGCTCATTCCAGCAAACGATTGAGAGTGCCATGGCGCGCCAATTGCGACGAGAGTCCAGCCGGAAGGCGAAAGCTCCAGGGATCTCTGGTTTGAAGAAGTTGGTGAGGCGGATGCTCTGGTTGAAGGTCAAGAACATCCTGCACATCTGTGAGCTGGCAAAGTGAGCTCAAAATCTTGCACCTGTTGATTCTGCAAACCTACGACGAAATCTGGATGGTGGAGAGTACACATGCACATACCCGCATGAAAGCATATGATAGTTGTTGGGAACTCTGTCCGCAAGATCTGCCGATCTTGCGGGTCGCTGCACGCTGCATCGATGGAGGCGCCCAGCTCAGAATTGAAGCTTGGAGCAGCCTCACCTTAGCTTTCGGGGGGCCTTTTGACCTTCAGGAACTATAAGTCTGACTGAGCCATTCACCCGTTGCAATCTTCCGGAAGTCGGTATAGAATTGCTCAGCCAGGCTTGGATGTCGGCTGATCCTTAATTGCATAAGTTTGCGTAAGACTTGCTGCTACATGCCGCTACATGCCCATTGCCACAACCTAAGACCGATTTTTGTCGTGGGACAGCTCAATGCTCGCATCAGGCTGACATGCGTAGCAATGGATCCCTGCAAACCTCACACGAAGATTCGAAGGCTTGTCTGAGATCAGGCCAAGGTTCAGCTGGTAGATTCGTTCGGTAGAGAGCAGATCCTTCATGCACAGGCGGTACAGCGTCTCCAGCTTCCTCTGCGCAGCAGGGTTCTGCTCCAACACCTTGTGGACACTAGTGTACTCGCGCGAGTACTGCTCTTTCGGAAAGAAGGCATAGACAAACTTCACAGCAGCCAGCAGGTAGAGGCCACACTCGTGAGAGATCCTACAGTTGCATCAAGTAGTAAGTAGTATGAATGACCCTGCTGCTTGGCATGTACGAGGCGCAAGATGTAAGCCAACCCTTGAACCACGTCCTCGACTGCATGACCTTGTTGTACAAAAGAGCAGAACGTCCAGGTGTGGCTTTCAGCAGCGTGGCATGCATGATCGTCCTCTTCAACTTCTGCACTTGGTCATCACTGGCAGTGGGGAAGAAGAGACTGTACGTGATAACACCATTCGCGAAGCTCTCCAAATAGAAGCGCCGAGGAATTACCCCCACAAAGCGCATCGCTTGCCAAATCTCTTTGAGGAAGTGGCGACCTACGGTCTCCGCTGTGGCAAAGAGCATCACGAAGCCGTAAGGACATGGGCCGGGATACACATGTCCAGGAACCACCCTCACCACGCTCCGGCGTGTGGCGACGACGTCTTCCATGACCTCAGACTTATGAGTACGCATGTTCAACAAAGCCCGCGGTTGAATGGCAGTCCCGAATTTGTTGCTAGAGTGGGGTGCAATGCGTGGGCCCTGCAATTACCAGTAGCATCTCTACATCAGCCAGTGGCCTTCCCAAAGCTGAAGCAGCTGCACTTCAGTCTGCAGATACTCACACGGCTTTGGCTAGCTTTAGCTATACCACAGCATCGCCTTTGAGGTCTGGACAATTTGGTACTGCTCCTTGGCCTCCCGGGTTTTTGTCATCAGGAACCGCGAGGACGCGAGGACCTCCAAGGAGGCCTCGCCCTCGGCCACCCGGTTCACCTCGAAGTGGCCCTTCTCCACGGAGTAGATGCCCAGGCGCTCTTGCCCACCAAGAAATGCCGAACCCTCCGAAGACATGAACGTCAAGGCCACCTGAAGCATTCGCACATCACAAAGAGTGGCGAGAGCTCTAAGAGTATGGAAACTATGGGCTCCATGGGATGGTACCCGAAAAAAGTACGATGGAGAGGACCGGGGAACGTTCTTCTGATCCTCGAAGCACTGCGTGAGGTACTTGGAAACCGAGTCGATGGTGCGAAGCTGTGCTCCTTCCCAGGGGGGTGCTTCGGCTTGGGCTTTGTCTGTGATTGTGCGAAATTCGTGGCAAGAGTGTTTTTTTAGAGATGCTAAGCGAGAGATGTGGATTCAGCATATTGGACACATTAAAATGCTTTAAACTTTTAGCAGGGGAGAGGGAGAAGGCCAAAACTGAAACTAAAAATCGTGAGGAAACATGCTGATCCTGTCGGCTCTCTGGCGCAGCCGATACTGCAAAGGAAGAAGCCGCTGTGTTCGGACCTCGCAGCTCAGGTAGTTTCATATTTGCCACACGAAACAACTTTTTTCAGGAAACGGCGACACAGAGACCACATGTGTGGGGAGGCTTGGGGCTCATTTTTCAACAACTTAAACCCTGGAATGCTCAGCACCTCACTTGAAGTCAAATTCTAGGCCGCCAATGTCATCAGTGGCACGGGCAACGTGCTTCGCTGCAATAAGGCAGTGGACATGCTTGGCGATCTGCATGGGTGTGAAATGCTTGAAGTAAACCTCATGGAAGCGAAGCACTTGAAAGAAGTGCTTCACTTCAGCATGGACGGTCGTGTAGCTGAACACGCCCTCTTTCACAACTAGCTCGAAAACTGTTCCCATCAACTCATCTGTATCTCCGCCATCACGATCCTCGGGAGCTGAGACTTGCGTTGAGGATATCTACAAGATTAATCGAATAGCAAGTGGATTAGTAACAATGTGAGCAGCAAGTAGAATCCAACCGGGCCAATCAGACCGGTCTCTGCTGAAACGTTGATTGTCTCGGCTGAATCCACCCGGCGTCGCTTCTGCAGAGACTGCTGCGGGTCTGCCAGCTTCTGGCTCTGCAAATAGCGCCTCACCTCCGTGTGGCTATTCTCCACGGCATCGTGTATGGGTAGCAGCCCAAACCTGTCTCGCTGCAGTGAAGCTCCGCACTCTGTGATCAGGAACTGGACCACATCTAACCTCAAGAGGCGGAAGAGTCGCATGGGCGAGCGAGAACCGCAAGAAGTGCATTCCGACATTTTCTGCCAAGCCACTTGCCCGCAGCAGCCGCTAAGTGGAGAGGTGTGCGCATATCGTAGGCAGTGGCAGCATTGACCTCGGCTCCTGCGTGGATAAGCACGCGGAGGCCAGAGATGTCGCCACTGGCCGCACATTCGCAAAGGAGTCCCGTGAGGGCAGCCTTCCGGACAAGAACAAGAACTGACAAGAACAAGAGCTATCGAACATTGAACAAAATGTTAATCCGAAGGCCTGCGGCAATGCCTTCAGCAATTCAGGCTGCGACTTCAGCTGCAAGGAATCATAGTCGGCGACATCGGCGACCACCATGATGCAAAGATCTGTGTCTCAATGACGAATCACAAGTTTGAGCCAAAGCTGACGCTGTCTTAGGCATCCTGGACACATGCCCATGCGGCTCTGATGAGATCTAACTTCAAATCCCAGCAATGTCTGCAGGCCTGTACAAAGCTCAACGGCACGGCACCCAACAGGTCCTCTCAAATCTTGGTACAGCGCTTCGGGAGGTGGTCACAGTTCGAAGCGTAGCATCCCTCACAAGTCAGGGCAAAGTCTTCAGCGCTCCCCAATCTTCCGGCTCTGCGGAGAGTACATCAGCTCATCGTCGTCAATATGGACAAGCCTGCACCAAAGCAATTTGGACAGGGGTCTGCGCGTCGACATGGACGCAAGCAAGATGAAGCAAGATGAGGCAAGGTGAAGCAAGATGAAGCAAAACAGTAGGACATAGTAGGAGTGCAGGACAGTGCAGGACAGTGTACGACAGTGTAGGACAGTGTAGGACACCTTTTTCGGCCAAGGGGCCAGTCAATCCCCATTTGCTTGCAGGCATCCCTGGCTCTCGCCATTGCGGCAGTTTGCCGGGCCTGCCAAACACACTCCATGGGGTCACTGCACTGCGCCGGAAGGGCTCTGGAAAGCGTCAAGCTGAATTGCTCGGCGAGATGCGCAAAAATACGAACATATGCGAAAGTGCCACTATAGCAGCGCATCAAAGCACAGAGAAACGGTCCCACCCCGTGTCACCTGCAAAGTTGTATAGTCGTCCACTGGGCGCGAGTCCGTCGAGGAAACACCAACTGCAAGTCCAAGCCGTCACAACATCACAACAAGGCACTTTTACAGGGCAAGCGTCCCTCTCTTGCTTGGTGCAGACACTGCCGATGTGGATCACAAGACCCAGGCGTAGGCTTGGACTCAAAGTGCCCCACAGCGTGACCTGCATGAAAGCGCTTCTTCCAAGGAGAAACATAGGGGAAATCATGAGAAAATCAGAACCCTTCCTTCCATTTGCATGGGCGAGCCCTCAGATTGCTTTGCCGTGCAGCCATGTGTACAAGACATGTTGAGGAACTTCCTAAGGTGTCACAGAATGCGGTTACAAGTGAGAAACGTGGCGCCTTCGCCTGGTCCTGCGCTGATAGCTGATGAACAGCTTCGGAGATCTGAGGCGAGTCCTTCAGAGATGTTCGCCTATACACCGCCATGCAATCCCGCGCAGTCAGCTTACACATGTTACAGTCTCCTCAGCCTGTATGAATACGTGCTCAACCTTTGTTTGGTGCAGTCTCAGAAGAGGTGGTCACAGCAGCTGCATAAGTAAGGAGGTTGCCCCCGCGTGATGAAGGTGGTACCTGCTGTGATGGCATTGCATCTGAAACTATCCTGCAAAAATTCTGCATGGACAACCCAGGCGGCCTTGCCTGATCCAAGTCTTCAAGTCCGGAGGGTGTCGACTAAGCATCACCTGCCAAAGGAGAGCCCCAGGGCCTTGGGAGGCATGGGGTGCCAGGAGAGGCACCTCTGGGCATGTCAAGCAAGATGACGACGAGAGCCACCATTAGAAAAAAAGAAGTCAGTACTTCTCAGGGGAAGCGCCGAAGAACGGAATGTACAAAATGGATCTGACCCTCAGACCTCTGTGACGAAAGTTCTTGGCAGAGGATACTTGAGGCTGCTCAAGTCGCATGGTCTCGAACTTGTCTTTGACGTGCTAACGTAGAAGGGGCCTTCATCCCAAAGCAAGTGGCATGGTAAGACAGGCCAGGCCCACGATGGCCACACGAGCAGGCTGCAAGGGCTTGCTTGCCTCAGGCCACAGCATCTTCTGAACCCTACCTTGCATTAACTTGCATTAGCATGCACGCGTCAAAGGCGGAGCTTCGGCAGCTCGAACATGAAGAGAGGCGGGGAAGGAGCTCGTCAACGGTCTATGGTCGGTATTCCGGCGTTTGGGAAAGTAACAGGCCATGGCCTGGCCGGCGAGGGCTTGCAAATTTCATTGATATCGTCACTTGGTTTTGTTTGAAAAATGGTAGCTGCTTCATCCACAACTACAGAACTGTACCGAACTTACAACCTCGATCTGAATCTTGACAAACTAACAGCTGGACACACACGCGCAGCACTGGCATATTGCTGATGCTGATACTCTGTCCGTTGGGCCCGAGGCGGCCGCGGCGCACCAACACTCCTTCCCGAAACGTGCGGATGGCGCAACTGCAACTACACCGTGGATGCATGCGAAGCACAGCTCTGCAGAACACAAGTCTGATGTCGCACGCACCCCTCAGCTCCCCCGGTTGCCTTCAAGCGATTGAAAGCCGGGTCCTTCCGGATCGGTACAGATTCGCTAGACGTGCCAGGTGCTAACATGACGGCGCCTCTCCGAAGCTGGAGATGTTGCACGACCTTTTCATGGCCACATGGCACAATGAAATTCGCAGACTAGAGATCTCAAACGAGGCTGGGAACGTCGCACGTGGGCTGTCCCGGCACCAAGCTGTAGGGCGACCTAACGATGCGGCCACGCGGGTGTTGTCAAGATCGTTTTTGGGTTGGACGGGCGATGCGATCACTCGCGTCGAGAGGCACACCCACCGGTCCCCTTCACCGAAGCGAACATGTCCACTGCCACAAGTGCACTCATCACCTGTGCTTGAAAGCCGCCGGATAAGGCTCTCAATAGCAAATGGTCAGTCAAACTCTCCGCATGCAGCAGTACGTCGCCTTCAACAGCACACCGCTCCCATAAGAGTCCGAGCTCCTCAGCTCCCTGTGGTTTCTTAAACTTGGTGGCAGCAGTGCAGCAGAACAAGGCAGCCAGTACCTCCAAACGACATTGAATTTCAACCGGCACTCGCCACTTACACCAACCCGGGAGCACATGCCATCGACCTGGAAGCCAAAGGGACATCAAGCCCTCCTGGGTGCATGGCTCAACCACGAAAGAGCACGAAAGGATCGACTGCGCACTGCGGTAGCATGTCCGTGGGTCTGGCCTCCGGCTGCTACATTGAGGAGAACCTCCCTCTCAATATCAGAAGCCAAAGACCAGCGCGGCTAAAGTTACTAACAGTCATTCACAGCGTGAGCAGGGCTCCAAGCAGCTTCTTCCTCTCTCAAATGGAGGCACCGACAGTATCACTGCAGACTGCTACTTTCGCACTTTTTGCACAGCGCCACACGCCGAAAGGTCCCGACGCACTGGAACCCACTTGCATCCGCTAGGCACGCGCAACAGATCCAAAGGCAGATTCCGGAGGGCATGCTTGTGCACGCTCATGTCCTGCCACTGCTCAGCCGAAAGGATAATGATGTCTGGGCCGATGCTTCCTGCGGTGAGGAGTGATGACGCGGGATCCATGTGATTTTCATGGGTTCCCACTTCATGGAGTTACAAGACACCCAAATCGCTCACATGCCTGTCGAAGATCGGGATTGCCCTACATCGGCAGCACATCGTTGGCGTTGGCATTTCAGTGGAAAAAGAGGGCAGGCCGACACGATGAAACGTCGGAATGCATGTTCCCCTGGTGCCTTTATCGCGCTTTCTACATTTTGCAGGAGGCCGCCTGGGATGGCATAAGGGGGGGTGGGGAACTCGAGATGCCCAGCTCGTCAAGCTCTGAGAACCTTCGAACGATCGAATCTTCACATGCGCAGCATCCCATAAGCTGCCATCACTTTCACGAACCTTCGCCCAGGCGGGGTGTCGAGTCGGACCGTGTGGGCCGCACTGGGCTCGTGCCGGATCGGAAGAAGCAAACCGCGCGCTGCACCCGAATCAGATCGGACGGCGGATCGCGCAGACAACTCGCATCATAAGCCGACCTGCTGCAGTGCCCCGTCTGACCCTGATCTCGGCGATCTCGGCCGGCTGTACCTACTCCGACCTGAGTCGTACATCTTTCCCACGCCAGGACGACGAGGCGAGCAGCTTTTGCAATTAGTGCAGGTGTTGACGAGCACATGGTGGAATCGGGCATCTCATGTAGTACTTCAAGCACAGCTTTAGCTTAAGTTGCGGAACACTACAGCGCCACAGAAAAGAAAGCAATCCTGTCGTACGCCAGCTGAAACTTGTCGAGCAGGTCAGAGGTGTTGGCGCAGACCTCAAGTAGCAGGAGACCTGACAAACCTGCAAACCTGCGCTTCCCATGTTCAGAGAGGCGATACATGCCTTGGTGAGCGTCGCAAGCAAAACGACCAGGGTGGCATCGTTGTATTCGCCACAGAATTCCTGGGCAGATGAAGAGTCGAAGCGCGGCATCTCTCCAGCTCCCTGCTTTCCTGAGATTTTCCTGAGATGAGGACCTCCTGCAGAGCTGTCGGGTGCACAGACTGTAACGCCTGCCAGAGAGTTCCGAGTACTTTCGAAGTCCGTGAAACAAAACAAAACACGCGCCTGGCAGATCGACAGCGTCTGCCTCAGGACCTCTGGGTTCTTCGGCGCTCGTCCCTCCTTCCAAGGAACTCGCAACCCTGTGAACCAGGCCCTGACACGAAACGCACCTGCCTTCACCTCCTTCATGTGCTCTAACAGCTCCTTGATTCGGTTGCTGAGCATGACCTGGCCAGCTCGGCAATGCAGAGCGAGCTGTAACATTGGATCCAACTGCTTTGGGCTTGGCTTTCGCTTGCAGCCCAGTTAAACAACTTGGCCGGCAGGGCAACTGAGTTTGACAAGCCGCTCGTGTACTGAGTAAAATCAGACGAATAGCCTTGCAAGTGGTCTGCAACTTTTGATGGCAAAAGCAGGGCTTGGAATGTCCATGTATCATGCCATGCCCGCCTGCTGCCGCAGTCGTCGCTGATTTGGCCACATGGTTGACCTGGCCGTGACCACCGACGGAGTCGGGCAAGACCGTGTCGAAAGCACCGTGCACAGAGTCAGAAAGCGGAAAACAGCAAGTATGAATAATGCGCGCAGGCTAGTGTGGGAAACACGCAGAACCATTCAAACCCTAAAACATCTGAACACATTTTTCGTAATCCCTGAACTGGAAACCATAGACGGCCGAGGCTAAGTTGACTTCGTGATGGGTCCAGGTTTGTTTCTGACTCGGTCTCCTTAGGTTTCCGACTCAAGGCGGACGACTCAGCAATAAATTTCACGACTCAGCCGTCACTCGCTATCTGCATCCTTGTCACCTCGTCCCTGGAAACTTCGAACAAAACGTGCCAGCTTTGCTGCAATCCTTTCCGCTTCCAGGGTGTCGATGATGTATGGCACCTGGAAAACTGGAAAGGCCCGCCGGGTCGATGAAAAGACCGGTGGCCGCATTGACATTCGCCTCGTTCCAAGTGACTGTAGCTACACCTTGCTCGATGTGGACTGTGGCATCGTACACCTCCGAAGCTTGGAGCCAAGAGCACTGCAACCCTGCTGGGAAAGATAAATTCATGCGGACCTTCACGGGCAGGTCCTCCGATTGCGATGCCTCACTGGTGAAGATTGCTACAGGCAAGAGCGGCAAGACCCAACTTGTGTTTGGCTTGTGCCAGGAACAGATATATGAATTGTCTAGCCAACGCGCCTTCTCTCGCGACATCTTGTCAGCATCCACTAGGAGGGCAAATGGATTCTCATTGGCTCCAACCTGCAGGCATTCCGGGGCATTCCCACACTTGCGAGGAATTCTCTAATATTTCCCGGCACCCACCTCCTGGATCTTTCTGTGTAAGGCCTTATCAGCTTCTTCTGGATGAGGGCCGGTAGAATACCATCCTCACAGTGAGAGCCGATAGCCCTGACTGTCCCCTGACTCCTGATGCGAAGCACACTGGGCGAAACATACCTGCACTCTTAACTGAGCCATCCACCTAAGAATTCGTACCGTGGAAACACCTGCTCAATAAATTCAGGTACAACTAGCAGGCAGTTGGAGGCAGTTGGCCAGAACACAGTGCCTCTAGGTATTGGGACAGGCGCTGCTGGAAGAAGTCCAGGTCGAGAGACCTGGCAGCTCGAGGGAGGATCTGAAGAGTCAAAGAGTCACTGAACATGTCAATATTTGGCGCGCCTTTCGCCACCCGGCTCTTCCTGCGACACGAGCTCGAAGGAGTTGTGCACATCTATGCGCCTGCAAAATGTTAGAGGTGTCAAGGCCCTATGGTTTCAAGGAGAATGATCCGATCTGGCCTGCCCTCCTGTGCCCCCAGCAGTGCGCCCAGAACCCGTTCCGACCTCGGACTCTTCTGTGTTTTTTATGATGTCGGAGATTCAGCCAATTCTAGGAAGAGTGCCGACCAGCGCTGCGAAACCTGACCACGTGATCCGAGATGTTGATGAGGACCTGGGCAGCCCGACCTTTTTTGCCTTTCTCCCACCCAAAAGCATCAGGCTACTGAGGCGCAGACGAGGGGATGTAAGTGAACATCCAGGCCCGTCGCTGCCATGACCTCCCAGCCTTCTGAAATACTTTCGAAGCCTACAATTTGTGTCAGAAGTCTTTCCAGGCACTGAGCACCTCTTGGTCAGCCGTCAGCCGGAGAACTCGAAAGTTTCTTCAGAGCGGAACTGCCTCTAGAATCCTTCATAAGACATGTCAAACATCATTTCGCCAGCACTTGTGGTGTTTTGTTGCGTCGTTGCTGTTGTTGCCCCAATCGGCTTTGCACGGAAGCTGTGAGTAGACGTCTAGTTTGGCCTATGTGGAGTCTACGTCTACGTGCCGCAGTCACCAGAAATCCATCGGGCAGTTGCACCAGCACAGGTCAGGTCTAGAACGTTCACAGAGTCTGGCGGATGCTTTTGCCGCTCGCTGCGATTCCCAGCCCTACAACTCTGCGGCAGACACGTGTCCGAAATTCACGCTCCCAGCGTCACCTGCAACTCGCCGACGGCAAGGGCACAACGGTTCCAAATCTTGCAGAATCGCTGCAGTAACAGAGTTTTTGCAGTGCTCCCGGAGGCTGTTCAGATTCAGGATTGCTGCAGGGTTCCTTGCCTCTTGCAGAAACATCGTCGCCACGATCGGCCCCCGCAAGCAGCAAAGCAAATTCTGGGCCGGCAGATCCCGTGACCTGACAACGTCTGGCAGTGTACCCCCCACCCCCCCCCCCACACCCCCCTAAACCCTATACCCTAAACCCTAAGACCTAACCCCCCGATCGAATACGCATGCTCCGGCCTTGGCTGCACCGAGGCGCACAGTGACCTCAAGCTGCTGTGGCTCGCCTGCTTGGACAGGAACGGGCTCCACCAGACCTGGCAAGCATTACACGCAACGTCATAAACCACAAGCCTGAGGACTTAATGAATAGAGGCTTCTAAGCAATTTACCACATGCTAGCGAGCTCTTCAACTTACTTGTCGTTTGCTTCACCGGCGGCACGCATTTGTTTCATAGCCTGTCGCAGTACTATTGCATGTATCATGTCCTATCTCCTTTGCGGTGCCCCCGTCTTGGTCAATCATACCTAGAAGTGGCACTCGTTCGAGGACATCGAATCGTAGAAGCTCTGAACTTTAAACCTTTCTTAACAAGCCTGATTTTAGCAGTGCCCCTATCTCGAGGCTGCTGCGCTTTGGGGGGGGGGGGGTGGGAGGGCTTCTCGTCACACAGAAAACAAAGAACAAAACCCACGCAAACAAAGACAAAGAAAGAAAACAGCTAAGAACCAAACGCGTTTTTCTTTTCAATGACTTCGAGCATCCCCACCCTTCAGGCAAGGAATTTGCGAGCTCACTCTGGGGGTCGGGCACTCCCCGGGGTTCTTTGGGGATACTCTCAGCACTCTTACAAGGATTCTGTGGGGATTTTTTCTAGGGCTGGGGCACATCGGGGCACTCAAGCGGTTCTGGGAGACTCTGGGCTTGGGCACTCCGGGCATTCTTGAAGGGTACTCTGGGATTCTCTTGGGGGGGGGTCCCTGGGGTTGGGGACTCCAGGGACTCTCTGGGAATGGGCTTTAGGAACTGAAGGGGCTCTCTGGGAATACTCTGGGGTTGGGTGCTGCAGGGATTCTCTGGCGATACTCTGGGGTGTGGTACAGGTGATGGGTGAGGAATTGGAGAAGAGTGTAGTTTAAATTCAAAAACACACCTGGGTTGGGAAGAAAAGTCTGCAACTCTTTGCAATTGCTCATGCCAACCCTTCATATCCAAGACGTCCATAGTGCTGGTTTTAGGGTTGCTTTTTTCCTTGATCCTTTTGTGTTGTTTTGTTTTGGTTTGGGTATGTTTTTGCTTTTCGGTTCTGGTTTTCCTGTGTTGGTCTAGACACTGCTGAAATTTAGTACTAACTTAACGAATAGCACAACCAAGCTCACACTCTTAACTATACTAGGCCCCCAAGTTGAAACACAAACAACTTTGCCAACGTGTTTAGCTAAATTGGGGGTCAGATATTTTGAACAAGGAGCACTATCTTAAGGCCAACCAGTGATGAATCATACAATACTTAGGGCTTCCAGTAAGTATGCAAACTCGCCGCAGAACTAAATGGCAAGAATTGTAAGCAAGGCCGTAACTGTATCTAAAGTACCCATAATAATATTCGATGCTCCCAGGTTGCATAGCTATTCTTATATGACGTACATACGCTTACCGTCAGCGCCGGAATCTTGGAATATGCCTCTGCGTAGAAACTGATTGTTGGAGTTTGCCTCTAACTTCAACGACAGGCTCTGTACTTTAGTATAGCTCTTAGTTTAGTGGACAGCACTTGAAAACAATGTTCCTGGGTACTTAGTTCCCCGAGTTGCAACACAAGTAGCTTCGTTCATGTAGCTGGCATAAGTGGAGGTCAGCTCTGTAACTGAAACTTCTTATGATATCAATGACCCGTGAATTAAAATCCTACAAACGATGATGCCAAGAAATTAGCAAAAAGTGGTCGTTGAAACACATACTGGGTTTAAGTTTTCGTTTCGTTTGTCGAAGCTCATCTGGCACATAGGTTGTCCCAGTAGCTGTCGTTCAGTACTTTCCACTATGCCTGGCTTCAGCACTTTTCTAAGCAATGAAGGACTTTATCGCTAAACCTAATATTGACAAGCAACCGGTTGCCTCCATGGATCAATATACAAGAGCCTTGTCCTATAAAGTGGGCGACGCAGCTACGCACAGCGCCATGAACATGAAGCCAAACATGCAAATGTAAAACACTATGTGCTGCACCTGGCTTGGTACCAGCCCTCGCCACAGCTTGGACCTAAGCCAAGCGATGCTAGTCTTAACTGTATACCACCTACCTACGCATAGAACCGGCACGTTTGCCCAAACTTCTCTTCGGGGTCCGACGTACTGCGGCCAGGTGAGGTCCCTCCCGAGATAGGCACCTGCAAGGGCGTTCACAGGTGTTCACATGTGTTCACTGTCGCCTCTGCAAAGTATTGGGATTGGGCACTTTCGGCTCCGAGTCGGCGAGCCGCAGGCCCCGGCTCGGAGAAGACCTGAGCTGAGAAAGCCCTTCTGAAGCGCACCGAAATGCACCGAAGCTGTCTTCCCTTTTTCAACCTTTTTGTGACGAGACACCGCCCAGCGTCCCACCAGCGCGTGGGCGAGACCGTCAGCTTGCGCCAGAAGGGGCCGCTGAAATGTTTCCTGAAGATCCCGAAGTGATGTAGCTGATGACCGTCTCTGAGGGTGTCAGCGTGAAGGCAGCAATCCCAAGAGCATTACATTCATTACATTGCTGATTCCAAACACCTTGAATCGAAGACAATCGCTCGAACAATCGTGTGAACTGTTTTGGGCCCGCTGCTGTGCTTGATATGCTTTGCATGCTTTGGCATGCTGACAGAGCAAGGGAACAAGATTCACCAGGCATGCAAAGACAGGAGCGGGGGGAGAGTGACGGGGGGAGAGTGAGACGGGGAGAGAGAGAGAGAGAGGAGAGAGAGAGAGAGGAGGAGGAGAGAGGAGGAGGAGAGTCAGACTGAGCGAGCCAACGCAAAGCCTAGCATCAGAGGAAGAGGAGCGAGAGGAGCGAGAGGAAGCGAGCTAGAACTACAGCCAGGGAGACAGATAGAGAGAGAGAGAGTGGGAAGGCGAGGGCGAGGGGGGCGAGAGGGCGAGGGCGAGGGCGAGGGCGAGAGCCATGAGAGAGAGAGAGAGACAGGGATAAGTCATCAGATCGAACTAGAAAGAGAGAGCACCAATGAAAAGAATGAAACATCTACAAAGCCACACAAGGGTTTGCAGGCGGCAACTCGGGAGTTACTCCTTCCCCTTGCTGGCCCACCCCAACGTCGTTGGAGCTGTATGGCGAGGAAAACACAAACCGAACTTTGCAAGTAGGGGGGGCGTCAAGCATCATTCAAAGGATGACTTCCTGCTTGGAGGTTGCGTGAAACATGTTGAATCCAACGTTCATCTCCTAAAGGTCATCTCATTCTGTTCATGCCAAAAACGAAGAAAGACTTGGTGAAGAGCGAAGTTCACAAAGGTGAGTAAGTTGCGACTTCACAAACAAAGATGCGCAAGTTGGCATCTTGTTCTGTTTGCCCGAGCCTCGCCCGAGATTGGGGCACGTGCATAGTTGTTCAAATCCTCGGCGAGAACATGCATGCTTTCTCAGGATTGACATGCACAAGATCTCGAAGCATAGCACTCCAGCCACTCCATTCACTGGCCAGTAAGGCAGCAACAACACTGTACACGCACTGCGGTTTCGTCAGCCACCTGCGAAGCCGAGGTCTTGACATGCTTCAACGGCTAGTGACCGGGCACTGCGCAGAAGAAAGAGGTGGAAGGTTCCAGATGCTTTGCATGCACGTTTTTTGGGGAATTTGGCTTTCATGTGAACAGCCCCAGCTAAACAAGCACCTATGAGCAGACGGCGCGGTCAGCACCATGTCAACATCAGCATATGAAGAGGACATGGGCTGATCCCAGCACAAAGTACTGAAGGAAGGTCAAAAGCCCAAGCCAATGCACAGCTAGTCAACGTTTGCCAAATGCAAGAGGATCCCCAGATTCATCAAGATCCACATAAAGAGCTGAAGGCCTGAGCTGCAGGGTGGAATGCCCACCGAGCCACTTGGTGTAGGGAACCTCATCGCGCACAACGCAGAAGCCCTCACAAAACTCAACCGCTGATTGAGCGGTAGGCTTGCTCCGCCTACGCAGCTCCGCTGGAAATTTTCAAGTTTGAGGACGAAGCATTCATTCAACGATTTAATTAACTTTTTCCACCCAGTCAGAGCCCTTCAGCCAACACGGCTGCAAACAAGGTGGAAGAATGCTGTGCGTTGCACTGGAAGGTGCTAAGCAGCAAGAGTGCCCATTGCGTCCACGTGAGCCGGAATGTCACTTCAAAGTAGCCGAGTGATTGAAAAAATGCGCTTGCACTGGGGGGCTGACCATGCGCTTGAGGAGGCCTTGCCGTCTCGCCTGCACTAAAGCTTGACAAAGCTGCACCAGTAACAGCCGCAATGTAAGAGAACGTGTGGGTTCGTCCCGGAATCCGACACAATTGCAGAATTCCGAGTAGCTTGGCATGTTCGCATATCCATCCTACCCCATCCTTTCCCAGGACAAAGAAGCCCAAACTTCAATCCTAAACCGAAGGCTGCGTCACCATTCTCATCCTCACCAGCCCGGCATAGGGCTTCAAAGACAAACGGGGACCAACTGACAGCCAACCGGGACCAAGCCACAGTCATTGAAGTAAGAGTCTGCTAAGCGTGCATCAACGAAAGCTGCACACCATGGCACTCTGAGGACAATAAGCGGCAGCACTGAGCACAGTATGCGCCACACTCGCTGCCGCACAGCTCTGCTGCGCTTGTTTGTGTGGGATCGAACTTCGGTGGCAAAAGCGACAGGCAGGGGTCAATTCAGGAACAGCAAAAAGCAACCTTAATCTGCGGGTTGAAAGTTTGGAAGATGAAAGCCTGGAAGGATAGAAATTAAAGCTCGAGCGCGTAAGACGTTAGACTTTAGGTTAGGGCGATCGAGACTTTCCATGTTTGGATGAGCTTGACAGATTGCACACCATCCTCTCTTATGTGAAAACTGCCGGTTAAACTGCCTCAAACTGCCAGACGACCATGCCAAAATGGCCAGCGCATTCTATCAAGTTGAAGCGGGTCAAAAAAATCCTTTAGAAATTTAGCGCTAGAAAAGGCAGCATGTTTGCGAACTGCTCTGCCTTCCGAATGCTGAAAACTACGGTGTCGTTGACTGCCAGCGGACACATACGACACGCATCGACACGCCGCGCCGGGCCTTCACGAACGTAGGTGAGGCTCCCGGCAGACCAGCAAGAGCGCAAGGTTTCTTATCTGGTGTCCCCCGTGATCGTGCCATTCCAGTTCAGTGTGAGGGCTGTCCCCTTCCAGGACAAAGCTAGTTGGGAGTTGTGTGAAAGATTTACTTGCGCTGGTTTGACACGATCCGTGCTGTTCAACCAATAGCCGAACTGAACGTCATGCCGTAGGTTGCCTCCCAAACTGAAAGGAAAGCCTCAGACCAACTGAAACTTGCCAAGTCTTCTCGAATTCAATCCATCGATGCCATTCTCAACCGCTAAACAGTGATCGTGGCCTACATGTCCACCATTACTAGCCTTTTCCCACTGTTAGCAAGAAGCCGCCAGTAGCCACTACCAGCCAGACCCGCAAGCCTCTTCATTCCATACTTGGAGATCCACCTTCACGCGGCCGAACGATGCACAAAGCGCGATGAAGTCAAAGCATGGCGATGCGAGCGTCAAGCCAGGAGGCCACATGGGGACTGTTCTAGATTAATATAAGGTTGTCGTACAAGTAGCCCTAGAATCCCTCTACAAAAAAAGCACTCCGAAAGAAACAACAACTTCTCCAAATGACTCCCTGCCTCACCCCAGGATCCACTCGGAATGGAGAACATGTGTGAAAGCTCTGGACCTGGTCATCATTTCAGAGCTTCAAGGCTCTTAGCAGGGAGCTTAGATGCAATCAGGTATTATGAAGCTTGTTTCCTCTCGGCTCATTAGCAAGAACCTGCCTAAGTTTTGCTCCGGGCTCCAGGGCGCAGGCTCTCGACCAGAGCGACCTCGAAGCAAGCAAAAGGGGGCACCACAAGGCCCCGATCCTGCAAAGGGCATGAGAGGATGCTGAAGCGGCTCATGCTCATGTTACGAGTAGCGGCTGTCATATAAGCCAAAGCCATCAGCCGACCTGCAGCAGCTCCTTGCGAACGGCTCCTAGGATCGAGAAAGGGCTGCGCCCATGCAGCGGGGTGCCTGGAGGCAGCAAGCTGAGCAAGATGCTTGCCGCAGACATCGGACACTCACTGACACTCACTCCTTAAATGGAACATCTCGCACCGACAAAGGTCCGACAAGCACCGCCAATCCGACCATTCTGTCTGCTCCGTCTCACCACATCTTCGGGAGCTTCGGATCGTTTCGGCCTGGAGGGTCCACCACAACGATGTCTGCACGCCTGCCCTCTGGCAACAAGACATCCAACCTCCCGGGAGAGGCAGTTACTTCTCATGAGCTGTGCTGTCTCGCCATAAGCATGAGTTGATCTGGAATTGAGGAGCTGGCATCTCTCGTGGATCTGCAGCGAAGACCTCTCGAGCCCAACACCCGACACCTTCCAGCCTCTAAGACCTGCAATGCTATGGCTGCTAAGTGTACGAGACAGCGATGAATACAAAACACAGAAAGACTCAACAAGTCCGAACCAACCGAGAAACTCGGTTCCCCACAGTTGTTTCATTCACCGAGTTCTCCTTCGGCAAAGGCAGAATAGTCCAGCATGGCAGAACGGACCACGCGCGGAAGATGCCACGCCAGGATGGGTTCGTGCTGCTATGCACTTGGCGAAACCGGTGCCCGAAGAGCACAAGTTTCTGGAACATAAAGAGTGGAGAAGGGTGAACAGCAGGGGTCGGACTGTTTGATTTTGACCCCCCCAAACCCTCCATCGCAACCCTTCAGTCATTGATTCTCCCAATCAAAACCTAGCGGCTTTGGCATGTATCAAACCAATGCATTTGTCTGGTAAACTGCCTGACGTAGAGATCGCTCATATATCATGACATCCAATTTCGGCTTCGGGGTGCTTCGGGGTCCTCTGCAACCTTTTGCAGTAGCGAGGCAACGTGCTCAGAACCTCAGTCCACGCAGTGTCCACGCGGTGTCCACGCCGCACTTCTTCTATTCACCTTTTGAACACATCCAGGGCCCTGTCCAGGCATGACCAGGGATCGCATGCCATGGTGCTTGGCTGCATAAAACCCAGGCCTTGTCTCGCATGAGTTATCGTGAAGTACATTGCAAGAAAAGATGTTCGACGGCCTTGCTCGTCTGGGCACCAGGCAATCCAGCATTCCCGCTGCAATCTAGCAGAGTGCGAGGCCCCACGCCCTCTAGCTGTCGAACCTGAGGCAGTTAAACGAGCGCCTGCGCCAGCCAGGCCTGAAGAACCTCTCTCTTCGCTGGTTAAGGCCTGGACCGCAGTCTGTAGGGCTGAGGCCTGCCATGCTCGAGCAGGGGCTGGCGCACGGCAATCTGGCTCAATTCAAGCAAAAGCGTGGCGGCCAGGCGTAGAAATCATGCCGCTCGTGGTCCCCGGCCACAGGTAGCAGGAACCTTTGCCAAACATGCAAGTTGCAGTGGCACCATGTTGGCCCGTGTGCAGTCACTCACACACACACACACACACCATGTTTGACGCGAAACATCCTCTAGAGTAGCCGGTGATGTGTTCGTGGCATGTCGCAGGCTCTGAGGCAAAGGCTCGTTGACCTCTTTAATGGTTTGCCGCGGAATTCCATGCAACCTGGGCTTGCCGCAACATCTGAGATATCTGAGGCGGCTTAAGCGGCTTGACTGTTCAGCTGGGGTCGTGCCTGGATGGCGATTTGACAGGCGGTACCGTGTTGTCCTCATACTCCGGGCCTGTCTCTAAGCAGCCAAGCGGCCAACATGCGAGCAACGTACACAGAAGCCATTGCAAGCCGCCTCCAGGATCTGCAGAGCGCGCGCGGACATGCATGCTGATGCCAGTCCTCGAGAAATCTCATGCGCTCAGGCCTTCTCTGGCGCATGCGCAGGCACCTTCCTAACATTTCGGATTTCTCCATGCTAACTATTGCATATCTTTTAGCTGGTCCCGTCGCACACAACGCACACTGCAACTTGGCAGCCCTGCGCAATGAACTCCACAGCGACCTGCACCCAGTCTCCCGCCTTGGCATCACGAGTCAGGTCAAGGACGATGGCATTGGCAAGACAAACATGCAAATCAGGAAAACGCGAAAACGCCTTCACCCTCAGTCTCCTGGGGTGATCTCCCAGGCGCCAGTCATCACCGGCTTGCTCCTATGTACAAGTAACATGTCGCATGTCGGCCTCCAGAAAATCGATCTTAACAGGTTCTTGCTATACTCACTTCTGTAGTGTGGGAAGCTCTGGAAGCTCTTGGTGTTAACTGGCTGCACGTGTCCTGCAGCTGTAGCAACCACCCCCATGCGACCTGTTCGGCGCTAAGAGTCGACACATCACGGTCAGAATGGTGACCGAACAGTCTGAGAACAGCTTGACTCGATGCGAGTGGCATCGCCAGCAAAGTTGCGAGAGCCTTGGGAGGTGCTCAAAACCTGTCAGGACACTCGGCGGAACTTTTCGGGATGCCTAGAGAGATTGCGACAAACAAGGCTTCTCATTCGCAGCTTCCGCCTTGCGCCTCTCTCGGTCTGCCCATATATCCCAATCGAACAGGGCCTTGCTGAAGATGCTTCCGGCTAGGTGGCAGCTAGCAAGTGGAGGAGATGGCAATCAACCCCGCTCAGAAACATGTCTGCTCTCCCTCGCTCCTCGGTCTGGGTTCCCCACGGCCTCAATGGTGCCTTCTGACTGCATTTCAAGCCTGGGCGAGGGGCGAACCCTAAAGCCTGAACCCTGAACATCCGTGAGCCCATATATACCCCCCCCCGCCCACATAAGCCATGGGCCAAAGCGTGCGATTTTTTGGAATTTTCTCCGGAGTGTCGTTGTAGAAGTCGAGGTCAAGGACGCAAATCCGCTCACTGAGTTTCACGTACCGAGCCCGGGAAGCGCCCACGGTGGCCTCAAGGCAACTCAAACTTGCACTCTTAACGCAGCTGAAAAGAAGCCTTCAAGAAACAAAGGACGGCACAGACGCACGAACGTCGCTTGCTAGAGGAATAAGGCAGTAAGCTCAGAAAGAGTCTACGACCTTCCCCCTCGTGGAGTCATCCGAGTCTGCCTTCCAGTAGACTGTGTCTTGGAGATCCTCAAGTTGGCTCAGATTGAAGCCACGCCATGGTGGAGGCGACCACACCGCCTCAGACATCTGCACCAGCGTCACATACTGGCACCCACCAGCAGGAATGATCTGGCCGCCCTCTTTCAGGAGACGGTCTCCTTTGCTGTCCCTTTTCTCCCCTCTTCCCGGCTAAGCAGAGGTTGTGCCACTATCGAATCACAACAATACTACTATTGTTCAAGAACGTTCAAACAAAGCTCAAGGTGCTGGCATCTGACAGGAACGTCAGAGCTCCTTCGCCCAACAGCATTGTACCGAAGGTCTCGGTCACCAGAATGTCAGCTTTGCCCCCTAGAGTGCCGAGATCAACTTGCGTGGACAGCTGCGCAATGAGACTGATGTTTGTGTTGGGATAGAGCATTCTGTTTCCCTCAATGGTCTTGGCTGCGAGCTCTGCGAGATGCAGATTCCTCAGGCCGGGCGCAAGAACTTGCGAGAAGCACCCACCAGCACGTGTTCTACAAATGCTCTCGCATGCTCTCGCTCTCAGCGTGTCTCGCTCCCGGCCCCGACTCGCGAAGCACAAGCCAGGCGTGTCTTGAAGCCAGGGTTCGCCTCGATGGCCAAGATCCTGCCTGCACTGCCGCCTCGCGCCTGTGAGGCCCGGGCTGCCGCCCGAGCAGCCAAGATGGCCAGCAGACCGCTGCCGGCTCCGAGGTCCAAGACATCGCATTGAGGACAACTCGGCAAAGTCAGTCAGTCACTCGGAGGGGCGGGGAAACGACCATCTACGAGTACGTTGCAGTGGCACCCTCTGGATAGAATGCCCGAAGCCCCGTGGATACATGCAGGAGAGCGCCTAGCCAAGGCTGCCTGGAGTGCTTCTTGGTAGAAGCTGTTTCGTCCGAAGTCGTTCCTGGTCTGTGCTGTGCTTGCCATGTGCGCAAGCAAGCAAGCGCCTGATGCTCAAACCAGAGAACACATGAACGTATGACGATGTACAGGCGTGGGCTAGCAACATGGCGTCCAAGCAGCAGCATCACATAATGATCGTCATACTCAAAGAGAGGCTTCCTGCCGACGCCCAGCGCCAGGGGAATCAGGCCCAAACCAATCTGCCCAGTCAGTCTCCAGCCCATCCGGCAGCTTTCAGAGGGCGTGGGAAGAGAGAGAGGTCGCTACACAAGGCATCCTAGAGGAGTTAGATGGAGTTAGGTTCTACAGCATGGTGTGGTTGTGTGTGGCTCTTTCTCCCTTCAACCCTCAGTATTCTAGGGGGGAAGATCTGCGACGTTCAGCGCCCCAAGCGCTCAATCCAGGGCTTAAGCTCAGGCAGGAAGCACAACTTCTCACACCGCTGGCGCTGTTCTTTCTTATCAGAGAGCGCAAGTCTGCTGCTGCCGTTATGTACGAAAGAACTTCTTTAGGACCCAAGTGACTCAGACTTCGCCAGCTGTGCGGACTTGCAGGCTTCCAGGAGCCCTGCCAGCTTGCAGATGCCCTCGAGCTGTGTAAGACGTAAGATGACGTAAGGCAATGCAACCCAAGCTCACTCGCAATTTTCCCCTTTGGCAGTCACATCAACGCTCAGGGTGTTATGTCCAAACAAACGCCTTGCTGGTCGCCTCCAGCATTCCAGCAAGGTCACTTCGTGAGGGCTGACGCACCAAGGGCTTGATGTCGCCATGACCCACAACGTAGCCAACAGGCTACAACTGAACAAGCTAACGAGGTAGCTCGTGGAAAACCAGCTGTAGGTGCTAGGGGTGAAACGGGGGTACTTCCAGGGAAAAACTGCTTCTCGCGCAACAAGTCTCCTTGAGAGAGAGGGTACAGAAACCGAATTATACAGAGAATGACTCCTCTTGCGAGTGTATGCTGAGTTGCTTCAGCATCAGGGCATCAAATTGCTCCGAGGTAAACGAGTTCGATTCACCTCTTGATAATCTTGAAGCTCTTCGCCCAGTGTGAAAATGTAGCTGAATTGGACTGGTCGATGTCTCGTCATGATTCACTAGTGATATCCTGTGAGCTTGTCCAGATGGTTCATATGCAAAGGTCTCCAGGACGTCACGGACACGCTGATGTCGCGCCAGCTGTGCCGGCGTGTGTCCTGACATTTGTCATCTATTTGGGTGTACTCGGACTAGCACAAAACACGCCACTATTGCCACCAGCACGTAGCATGATGATGCAGCGGGTTTCAGGCTGCGGGCTAGGGCTCTGTTTCTCATGGCATCGTTTAATTGCAACACTTGTGATTCATGCGCGGTTCGAGAAGATGTGCAGCAATCGAAGAGCATGGCGATGACACAAGCTTCAGATGAAACCTCTCTTGCACTCTTTGTACTCAGGTCACTCTGGCGCTCATCCGTGGCTTGGCTCCTCCGTAAAAGGTTTGAGCCTGGCGCTCTTTGGCAAGAACCGACTCTATCCATGAAAGGCCAAGGCATCTCATCATTGTCGTTGAATCTGCCCATGTCGGGCATCATGGAAGCCACCACCCCCAGTTTTTAATGGTCCCCGCCGGAAGTGTCATGGAAATCCCAAGGCCTCCCGTTGTCGAACGATTGCTTACACAAAGAAGCCCAAATTTTAAATGGCTGCGGAATGCTGCGGACAATGCCCACACAGACCGAGACTGTGGGCTCTGAGCCAGTCAAAGTCCAGGTTGATTGTTTTGAACTCAAGAACCTCACACGGATTCCACAAAACAGCTGCTGTTCAAAGTTCACAGAGCTTTGCTGGCAGGCGGCCACGGTTGTTGCGATCTTGAGGGTCTGCCCGTGCTCCCAGGAGAAAGGCAGCCAGGTTGACACTTCCCCAGAAGCATGCATGGCCCAGGGCGCTACTACTGCTCTCAGCCACGTACCTGTATGCTGCAGGAGGCTCCGGAAGTGGCAGAACAAGCCGCGCCCGGCAAGCCAGCTCTGCGCACCTATGCACAGCAGGGCAGGGGGGCCGAGCATCGATCTCGGCCTTGGACAACAGCAGCAACTCTGCCAGCTCGATTGTGTGGGGCTGCATGCTTGCAGCCATCGCCAAGTTACAAAGCTCACCGGGGTGCACTTCTGCTTTGCAATCGATGAGCGCAGCAACTGCATCAGTCGGATTGAATCGGGCACAGCTGCCCTGCAGAGGTGATTTGAAGCTTGGAGACCGGCGCAGATTCACGTCGGCCCGATGCTTGACTAAAAGTCGCACGGCCGCTCCCGAGGTACACGCCGCAAGGACCGACATGCCGGCAGTATCCGTCACATTTGCGTTTGCTCGTGCCATCAGCAAACCTTCCAAAGGACCCATATCATGGCGGCTCAGATCTGCAGCAAGGTGCAGGGGCATCCTTAGCTGAAAACAGAACTGCCTGGAAAAGAAGGAAGGCTAAGGAAGACCAGCTCTGGGTTCAAGCCCAAAGAGAGAGTATGCAGCTGCAAACTATATTTGACACAGCACAATGCTTCCATCTGCTTCCATGAGTCCAACCTGAAGGAATGCCAACGCCTGCCATGCCCGTGAGCCGTGTCGAGAGAGAAGTTCCGGCTCGGCTAAGCCATCCCATCATCTTCAGGTCTCTGGAGAGTACTGAGCAAGCTATCGAGCACATAGAAGTCTTCTCATCCACAGCATTGTCCCTGGACCCAAAACCAAAATGAGAAACAAAAGAGCTGGGATTCCGATGTGCCGGAGGAAGGCCCAGAATATCCTCAAATCTGGCCTTGAAGTATCGGCAGATATCAACATATGTCCTTCTCGTCTCCAGCATGCCTATTTTGTTGCGTAGCGCAATTCGAATGAACTTATTGACCTCCACCCTGTCCTCAGGAACTGTGAAGTGTCCACTGTTGGGAGGAAAGGGCAGGCATTGAGAAGGCATCGCAAAAACTGCGTGGTCATGGTCCAGGATCACGATGATGGGAATAGTAGGTCGACTGGATAGAAGCCTGCACCACATTTCGGCACGGCACCACCCCCGGTCCTGGCACAGTTGGAAATGGGCTTTAGCGACCCATACTTCTTAGTCACTTGATGAAAAGCAAAATTTTCTGGGCGACCCAGCGTCGATCCACGTTACAAATGAACAGTCTAAGCCTGTGTCGGCATGCGGGATTGTCGGTACCAAGGCCACAAAGAAATTGCAAGCATCAACGAAGGATGGTATCGACTGCACAGCCAAAGCAAAATCTCTTCGAGCACCATGTTGCGGAATGGAGAAGAAATCGAACCAAACATACGAGTCGTGCAGCTGGCCGATCTCTGACGGGGACAAACCATGCTGCCAGGCATTTGAGAGTTCGTGTGTCATGGAACTCCCTGCCGACAGCTTAACTCTGCCAGTGAGAATATTGTGTAGACAAAGGCGTAGAATCTGAAACTGCTTGCCAGCTTTGTCCGGATGCGATGTTCCCAGCCACTGATGCGAAACAAAAACGGTTGAGAAGCTTGGCTCATGCATCACGAGCACACCAGCGTTCAGTAACTCCTCATGCACGGGGGGAGGGCCCGACATCTTCAGAACGTCAATCAGCTTCACCACCCACATGGGATACAGGTCAGCATAGTTGTGACTCATTGCCGAGGGCCAAGGTGCGACCTCTACGGTTCGAGGCAGAGACTAAAGCATTTCGAAACATACTGGCTTGACCCAACAGCGGCAGACATGGTGCTAACAAGCAGCTTCACACATGCACACATGGTCCTCCGAGTTCGGGAATGTCCGACAGCACTGCATCAACCGCTACAAACATGCCAGCTGCTCGCTGCAGCAGCTCGCGGGCCGTGTCTCAGCATCCAGATCCGCCATGCACCGCTCAAGCCACTAACAAAACCTCCCAAGCCGTAAGCCGCTGTCCTTCCTGACCACTTGCCCATGCACTGATGACCGGCTTCAGAAGCCCATTGCCATACCTGACAATTTTGCCATGGACGGCTGTTTCTGAGCGTCTTGGAGGCTGCAGGATGCTGCAGGCGCACACAGGCGCTATCTTCCACGTCATGTCCGCTGCCTCGTCTTGCACCTCACATTCCACAAGTATGACCGCGGATGGTGCTGCTCTGGAAGCAGTCTGTTGAAAGCTGGTTGGTCGAGTCTTAACGGCACGCCCCTGCCGCAGCTCAAGCACACGACGCAAAGGCGGTTAGATAGGAACTGGCTGTTTTACACGACGCATCGTTAAGCTTCGCTGGGGCTGCAACAGCTCTGGCATTGCGGACGGCCTTGATGCCGGATGCTTCCGAAAGTTGAAGTAAGCCAAGTCTGCCTGGCCTCTTCGGGAGCAACCTGACCGGCAAGGAGCAGCACTGCTCCAGTTGCTGGGGGTAGCGTCCTGCAAACTACGCTGAGAACACCAGTACCGTGTTCCCATGCTGCAAAACATGCACAGGAGCTGTGTACTCCCCTGCTGCAGGACATGTGCCAGAGACAGCCAGCTCGGCAAGCAGGTAGCGAATCGCGGAGATTGGACTTGACAACTAAGCAGTCAAAAACGTGATCTCGGCGAGATGCCTTGTCAATGTTTGGACCTGAGGGTTTGCAAGCAAAGAGGCTCAGCGGATCAGGGTTGCGCGGACATGCCAAGAGCACGGCGGTGTATCTGGCCACCTGGTCACTGAGCGGGACCATAGCATCCGGCCCTGAGAGGGTTACTGGTTGCCCAACCTCTGCTCACATGTCGACTCTCAACACGCCTCGCAACCCGCGATCGTGCCTCCCGTTGACCCCCAAAAACCCCGAAACGATTGATCTCGCCAAGCTCACACTGTTTTTTGCTCAACCCGACAAACCCCAGTCGCGATTCTGCCTTGAATAAGCCTGCGAAATGACTGCTTCGTACTGATGCAGCAAGAACTGATGCCAAGTTGAACTGAGCTCAGTCAATAATGTCTCACCCCAGAACGGGTAACCATCAGTGCACCTGCTGCACAGGTGTCGATTGTGAAGGCCACAGCTTCCAAGTTTACATCCTTGGCCATGTCTAGCTGAGGTCCAGCTGGCAAGTGGGCAACCAGATTTACAGCAACACGAAGGCCACACATTCCCGCGACAAGCAATGTGGCAGCCATGTGGCATACTCATTCATGCAGCGAACGACGTTGCTGTAGAACTGGTCGGGCGATGCATGTCGTTCGGTGTCGTGCTCTTTGAGGCAAAGCAGGCAATTCGATCACCCCTTCTTCCGTTGCACGCGGCTGCTTGCGGGATCCTAAACGAGGTTCTCAAATCAAGGTGGATGTGCCCTGACGAATCAAGTTGAGGCATCTGGCTTGCCGTGCTTCAGGCCCAGTGCCGAGCATCCAGCATAAACTTTGTACTTGCTACTCAAAAAAAGCTCTCACCCAAGGGACCTTCCCAGGGTATTAGGCACGTTACACATCCTCGAGTCACTCGATCGAAGTCAGTTCTTGGGCTTCCACAGATTCCTGAGCAGGGCGAGTGCGCAAAGGACCCGACCTCAACGTCCAGCTGATGAAATCAGCACAGAAAAAGAGGGTGGCCTCTTCTTCTGTTTGATCTTGCCTCGGCTATGGCATTCTCCAGCGGCTTTTGTGACAAAATAACTGTCTGCTTCTGAGAGACCTGTTCTGCGCCGCACAGCAGAGCCAACCACTGACTTCAAGTTCACGTGGCCCTGCACCAGTTCGTACAAAAAAAGATCCGGGAGCCAGAAAGCAGCGATCTTTCAAGCTGGTGTCAGAGCAAAAAACATGCCGAACTTTCAAGATGATTCGCAACTGAACGAGTCGGAAGCGCCCTCACATTGCACACGTAGCTACGGTCACAGAGTGTACTGGATGGGTATTCCTGGGCCCCAGCCATCTGGAGACCCTTGGGCCCCTTCAAAAAAGTCAACGGTAGCACGAAAACTCTGTAAATCCTGTATCTCTAAACCTCTTATCTAAACCCTAAAATCCGAAAATCCGTAGGTCGCAGATGCCCGAACTTTCCTAGGCCCAAACACCGTCAAATCCCCCCCAACACTTCCCCACACCCTAGATGTACCCAAAACCAAAACACACTGAACCTAAATCCCTAAGCCCTAAACCCACGACCCTCAAACCCCAAGCCTCAAGACCTACAAACCCTTAATGATCCTAAACTCTATCAACCCTGGATCCCCTTGCCCCCACGAAACTCCAGAATCCCTTATTTCGAAATCGACTTTTGGATCACAGACGTAGTCGTAGTAGTACTCCTCGTAGCCGTACTAGTACGAGTACGCGCACATGTATTTGACGCTAGTATTTACAGCATTACGAGTGCTCAAAAGTGTTGCTATTTTTGCGAGATGAACATTCAAAGCTGCCAGAACGGGAGAATAGGTATTTGGGGGTTGAGGACTTTTTTTTGGCCTGTAGTTTTCGGATGTGTGTTTGAGCCGAAGTGGTCGCTGTAGCATCGTGCCATGAAAGGTCAAAGGCGTGCCACAACTGCTTGTTCTGGAAATGGAAACCGCCCCCCCCCCCCCTCCACCTCCCCAGTTCCAGCCCCACCTTCCGCCCCAAGCCCACCCCCCAAGAGAAATCCATGCAAAGCAGTCATGAGACATGCAAGGCCCTCATGGGAAGTGCAAGGCCCTCATGCCCAAGGCAAGGCTCTCCAGGGAAACCAAATACAGCTGATGTCAGGTACGTGACTCCAACCAAGGTCGAAGTGAGAGGATGCGGTTCGACATAAAGGAAAGCATGCGAAGAGACAGGCGCCTGAAAGATCGTTCTGCACATGGACTCTGTAAGAGTTATTTCGACCCATGCATATGCCAGGAAATGAAAAAACTTAAAAAAAAAGGGTGCAAGCTGATTAATTTGGCGAAAACCGCGAGATTTTAAGCACGCAAGGTCACCGGAAGCAACAGCAGTGAAACAACAAAGAAAAAGGCATGTCGAAAACAGGATCAACCCGCCCTGCCAAGGAAGTGGATTACCAGCGGTGCACTTAGCGGTGGTGGTGGTGGTGGTGGTGGTGGTGGTGGTGGTGGTGGTGGTGGTGGTGGTGGTGGTGGTGGTAGTGGTCTTCAAAGTCGGACACCACGGCAGGCTAGGAAAGGACAAATTGAATGCTCTGCCTCCTGCATTAAAAGCTGCGCCATGCCATCCTTCAGCTGGCGGCATGCGACGGGGCCTGCTTCGCTGCTGCTGTGCTTGCCGGAGTCAGGAACTGTAAAGATGTGACACATGGCATCACACGGCCTTCTTCAAGCAACAGCGTCGAGATTTGCACCACCTCTGCTGGAGTCGAGTTGCTCCGTCGCAAAAACATGTTTTCGCACCTCTGCGAGGTCTCTATTATCGTAATTGCTTCGTTATTGCTTGCATCGTGTAGCTTACCAGAAAGGGACCCTTGAATTCTGAATGAGGGTTCCAAGGGCTTTCCCATATTTTCTGGGCTTCTCAACGTTAGGGTGCTTTCAGGGTTATTCAGTTCTGGGAGCTACACGCACTGGCGATTGCTAGAAAGCTGGCTATGCGCTATTACCACTGAGAAAACTGAAATTAGAACAACCCCCCCATGCGGAACACTGCCACAGAGTTGCGGTTGCACCAGCTTCTACCTTGGGCACCACGTCTGAATGGAGGAGAACTGCGGAGGGCTTAGGGTTGAGGGTTAAGGGCTTGAGGTCCGCGAACCATCCCTGTCAGTGACTTGCTGGTTCTGAAACGACCTGACTATGAAGACCAGTTCTTCCTATGTTGCCCTCCACCACACGTTGCAATGATTCATGCGGACTATCCAGTTTGGACATGGGCCAGTTTCTGACACGAGTATTCCCTTTGCGCGAAAGCCCCAGCAAACCAAAACCTCTACTCGATATGTATATTCCAGGAGCATCCCAATACCACCCCAGTTTAAAGCAGGTTCGCACAAACACCCAGCAGGCCCGCCCCTCCCACTTCTGGGTGTGGACATTAACTTTGGCTTCATGAGGCTCCCTGGATGACAGGTTCGGGGTCCTTCACCTGAATTCAAGAGGGAGCTGTAGTTGGCATACTCTGATCACAGTCGCCAAACTTATCGGTGCCAAGGCTCTGCATCAAGAGCATCCCTGGCATTGCGCAGCCCGCCGCTGGCAATGATCGCGATGTCTCCCTCGAGCCCAGAAGCCCTCAACCCTCAAAACTTTCAGAATCCCTTAAGACTCCAGGCGCCACTTACAAGAGTGCTCCATCCCGTTCACACAGGCACACACTCACCCACGCACACACACACACACACACAAGAGCCCATGAGCCCAACTGCATCATGCATTCGTAGTCAGCCCTTTTGAATTTTGGCCCTGCATTTGGCTGCTAGGAATCTACACCACTTCAGGTGCCATTGAACTCCGCGCCTGGGACTTCTCGAAAGCTTCGCAGATCAGTTCACGCTGGAGCTGGCGCGACTCCTAACGCGCTTCGACTCACTAAGCGAAGGTTTCACTGGCGAGGTTTTAAGTGGCTCTCTCAGGCAACACCAGAGAGGGCAATGTCCTATGGATGTGCTCATGCCAGAGTAGGCCCTAAAAGTGTAGACACGGCAGTCACGGCAATAAAGGTTGGAGGTGCGGTGGCCTGTGTGCCTCGGCACCCGTGGGCCGCATCATCGTGACCTGAGAGCCCCAAGTGATTCGCATGCCGACGGGCTGCATCCGCTTCAGTCATGAGGTAAGGAACTCTCCAGACTAATCGGCCATTTTGCAACCTCTTCCCGTGAGCCCTCTTGCTTCCGGCAAGATCACGGCTGTCTCGGCGGGGTGCGGTGCCCTTTGCCAGGAGGTTTTTTCTGCCAGAGTCAGGGACGAGGACGTACCATCAACGTAGGCCGCCGTTCACGTTCGGGATAGTTCTGGTGCGCAGCGTTGTCATTCGCCGACAAGACCTGCTCGTCACAAGCTCTGTCGCGCAACTCGAGCGACTGCATCTTCGAAGGAGCTCGAGTCGTACGCGAATCGCACCTTGGAAGAGGAGAAACAGCTCTTGCAATTCTGGTTCAGTCAAATGTTGTCAGTAAGACACAACACTGACACAACCGAGTTCCATCTTCGCACAAGCTGCAGCAGGAGCCTCTGCGACTTCAGCGCCGTGCCACAGCCCCCTCACAATGGCTGCTGCTACGTCGACCTTTGAACTCTCGGGGTGCATGTACACACCGCCAGATACCAAACCTCAGCGTGAAGACAAGCAAGTTCAAGAAGACTTGTGGCTCTGCTGAGGCTCTTCGAATCTCTTCGATCACTTCGAACGAGCGAATCAGATCCGAAGCGGGTAGCAGAACTGCACCTCCTCAACTCTGGGCAGGCCAGCATGAGTGTCCTCTGCAAATCATGTCTTGGTTGTCTCATTCGAGGAATCCTGTGCATTTGGTGATCTAGACTTCTAGCGGGTATTTCGGCCATCACTCACCTTAACAATTGGGGCTTGCTTTTGGTACAAGGGGCTTAGTCAGCTAACGGATTTCCCTTTCTTCTACAGATATGTAACACATTCCTTCTTGGATTTGTAGGGCTTGCTGTCCATCGCTCCTGTTTGGGTTTTGGGCTTGCTCGTCGGTTTGAGGTCTGAGCTTGCTCTGTTCGCTTGTCCAAGGTAGGCCGAGTTGGAATGTCGGTAGCCTGGAGCCTTTATGCCGCCCTGATGGCAGGTTGCCTATCACATAGCTACAGTCACAGTACCTGCAGTGCAGCGAATGTTTTCCCGGCCTTCCCAAGCAGGGCATTGTACTCCGCTACGGCCAACAGCGCGTTGGCGGCCATCTCTTCAACTTTTTGCAGGAATGCTGCATTGGAATCCATGGTAGGCCCATGTCCGCCCGATGCACCTGTGCCTTCAGGGACTGAGATGCACTGAGTATACTGGCCGAGACGTGAGGAACATGAGTAGTAGGGATAGTAACGTGAGTAATGACAAATAGTACTCATGAAAGGCTCACATCATCTCACATTAGTCTCTCAGTCGCGCCCTTTGGACCCACCACGTACAGCATTGCCACATTCTTGACACCTCATTGCCCCAGAGCGCAGGGGAGTGGAAATAAGCTGTCTGCTGTGTTGTGGCACACAAGGGATTCTGAAGGCCCGACTGCGCGGACGGAGCTGTGGTCCAAAGATATGCAGGAATGCCGCTCCCACAGCATCGGGTTCACTGTGTGCAGGGCGTGCAGGGACGCGAACCTCAGTGACAGTGACGGACAACACGGGTTTGCTGCTTCCCGATATTTTGGTGAAAACGAAATAGGTTTCATCAAACCGTAAATGCATGCACCATGCTACGCAAGCAATGCAAGCACCAAGAAGCAAACGATGCCAACAAGCCCAGCTCGGCCTGAAGATTGTCCTTGATTCATATCATTCAAGTCAAAGTGTTTAAACTTAAACACTCTGCGGTATACGGTTCTCACTGAGGTAGGGAGACTCACATAGAATCACATAGAACTGTTCTAGAAGAGTTGCCAATCAGCAGGGCATCAGTTTGCACCTCCGAGCTTGATAAAAGCTGGCCGGGGGTCCTGTGCGCTGCCGACAGCAGCACCTGCCATGACCGCCGTTTTGGAGGGCTCAAACCTTTCTACCTGCTCTCCAAATGCTCTCCAGAACCAGGCTTTGCCTTGTGCAAGTCTTGGTACTTATTCGTGCGCGGAAGGTCCAGCTCCTTTGCGAAGGCAAGGTTGATGGCGCCACCCCCAACATACCTCGCGTTCGCATGCGCCACCGTGCGGACGCGAGTGTGGTGCAGCTTGTTTCAACTTGTCTCCTCTTTTGCGCGCTACTTGGCATCCCGGAGGTTTTGGGCTCCTTATGGGCTCCTATTTCTGCTTCAGACTCCAGCTGCAGATTGTAGTCGCCCGCATTCACGGAGGCCGTGTTTACTGTGGGATCATCATAGAAAATTGGAGTGTAGCCTGGCGCGACGGAACAGAACTAAACCAAAGCAGCGTCGTTGAAATGAAAGGGAAGCATATGGAAGCACGAATGCAGATTTCGCATCAACTGCAAAGCCTTTCGCAGGGCGGCCGCAGAAGTTGATGCGCAGGTGGCCCAGTGATTCAGGTGTGGCCTGGCCTAGCAAGAAACTAAGGACCCAACCCACAAAAAGCAGCTCTAAAGCGGCTCCATGAGATTTTCAAGCCCCTTTGACGCCTTCCTCACACGCGGCACAGCATTGCAAGATGGGGCCGCATCGAGCTCTCTGCCTCTTCCTCGGACACCGAGCACGCTAAGCACGCTGCTCTCGCAGCCTCTGGTGATTCTGATGCCGATTCAGTATGGATTCAACAAAGGGGACCCGATGGGCTGCTTTTCGGGTTCAGCATCCGCAAGTGCAGGCACAAAATGGCACAAACAGCTGCTTGCGTTACTTGCTTCAGGCTGCGCAGCTGGGTTCTGACCGGAGAAGGCCAGCGAGGACAAAGTTAACGGCGCAGCTGCCGCAGTGGCCAATGCCAGGTAATGTCTTGAAGTCCTGGCCACAATCGAAGCATCGGCACTGGTGGCACACTACGAGTAGCTGGAACCCGCAATCTTGCATTTCTGCTTATTACCTCGCAGGCCTGGAGCTTTGCCGGCGGGGCCGTCCAAAAGGACATGGCATTCGCACAGATCGCACCAGACCCGGCAGCATGGCAGCGCGTGGGGACTCTGAGTTACTTTGCATGCACGCGAATGAAGATTTACAATGCTAGCGCTCGCTGGATGAACATTTTGCCCTCTGAGTGAGTAAAGATGTCTAGGTGGGACTTGGTGGGACTGAGCCCGCACATGCGAAACTCACTCCTTCCTTAGACTCCTCGACAGATCTAATTTGCAAGAGCCTTGGGCAAGCTTTCTGGACCAGATAATTTCAGACTAGCACGTTCAGGCAGTACACCTCAGCTTGACTTTGAAACCCTAAGCCCTAACCCGAAACCCTAAACCCTAAACCCGAAACCCTAAACCCGAAACCCGAAACCCTAAACCCTAAACCCTAAGTTCTTCGCATTGTTTCTTCCTTGGCGCACGGCAGATGATGAGCCCCGAGGCTTCGCTGCGCCGCGCTGCTTCGGCGACCTCCGCCACGGCGCGGCACCGCTCCTTCGCTCGGGGCCTAATTAGGGCCTTTAGGAGGGCCCTTTTTCGGGCCCTTTTTGGGGCCTTCTTTTAGGGCCTTTTTAGGGCCTTTGGGGGCTCCTTCCGCAGCGCCAGTTCAGTTCCAGCCCAGTTTGCGTAGAGTTTTCCTTTTGTTTGGTGACCTCTGTCAGAACCCTCTAAGAACCCGAATCTAGGAAGAACCCGCGCTACAGAAGAGGCCGAAGATACGGTCAACCTGAGTTACTCTGCGATGAGAAACACAGCGCTGCAATTTGCAACGGAAGCTGCAAATCTAATCAAATGACGTAGTCACCAATCTAAATACAAGTGAAACCCAGAGATTCACAGGTTGCGAAGTTACGCCCATCCCAAGGCCTCGCGTTTGCCCTGTTTTGCCCCGATTGCCCATGATTGCCCTGGTTGCCCATGATTGCCCATGACTGCCCTGGTTTTTCGGGGGTGGCGATCCCCCGGAGCTTCCGAGTATGCGCCTCGTGGCTTGCAGAGGCGTCTGGCCAGCTGGCGGGAAGCCTGGGGGCGCCGAGGCTGAAGGAAGGGTTTCAGGTCTTGTTTTACAAACATAGGGTTTACTGTCAGATTGTTGGAGTTCATAAGGCTTTATGGGTTGAGGCATGTCGGGTTGGGGCTTGATTTTCTAGGGAGTACGGCTTTTGGGGCTGATACCCCCGTTCTTCCCTTTCCCACCCACACAGCCCCAAACCCACAACCCTAAGAGTTACCCTGTACCCTAAACCGTAAACCCCAAAACCCAAAGCCCTAAACCCTAAAACAAGCTGAAACACTACAACCGTACACCAACCCAAAAATGAAAACTTGTAAAATTGTTTTACTTCGAACATCCCCACCCTCTCTTGGTAGAGATACTCTGGGGTTGGGCACTCTGGGGACAATCTGGGGTTGGGCATCCTAGGGAGACGGGGTTGGGCACTCCAGGGACAATCTAGAGCGAGGCACTCGAGGGATGAGCGAGGAGTAGACAGGGCGAGGAGAAGAGTCGAGTTTAAAATCTAACAACCCCACACCGAGGGTGGGGAAAAATTCCCACGAAAACCCCACAGGACATTGAAAACGCTCAACCCTAAAATCCTAAATCCTGAACCCCTAATCCCGAACTCTGAACCCTACAACCCCAAGTATCCTACATCCTAAGCCTTGAGGGGTATGGGGGCAGTTATGAACCCCAAAAGCCAAAGCCTGACCTGACACCCTAGAGCCCCAGCAGCCACCAGAAGTCCTAAGACATCCCAAGGGCCCCAAACCCTACCAAGCCCCAACAGCCCCAAAAGCCCTCAACCCCCAAAGCCCTGAAACCTAAACTTCCAAGAACTCCAAGAGCCCTGAGCCCTGAAAGCCCTACATTACTAAACCCTATGAGGCTCCAAAGCCCTTCACTCTAAAAGCCCATAACCCTCTCAGCCCTCAAAGACTAACTTCCTGAAGGCCCTAACCCGACTAGGAGACTCATGCCAACGGCAAGGCTGAAACCGCCTCTCTACACCACGCCGGTGGACCTCAAGAAGATGCGAGGTCCGCCCCCAGGCAGCTGCATTGCTGCTAGCACCAGCTCCTTGGCGATCTTTGCCACCTCGCCCCGATTGTTTGCCGGCAAGGCTGCCAGGTCCACGGCAAAGAGCTGCAGCTTTGGGCCCAACAATGACATGAGGGACAGCAGCTCCTGAGCGCAAAACGGCGACTTCCGGCTTTAGCAGAATTACTCTTCTTGCTTTATGTACCTTCCTACTTCCAACAACTCTCTCAAGCAAAGGTCCTCCCGACTCCCTCCCACGGAAGCCCCCAGCAAACCGAGCTGAGCGATTTGTTGGCTGACGTCTCGGCGTTCAAGGTTTTGAAGTACCATCTCTGGCTTTGCTCCACCAGCACCAACCGGACCAACCTTGGTGTTGGTAAGAACGAAGAACGCCGTTGAACTGGAACAGAGGTGTGGGGCAAAACAAAACCCCAAAGAATTCCAGTGAGTCACTGAGGACCGGGCTTCCACAAATCCGAAGCCCAGATTAAAGAAGGCGGCGAGACCTTCCCCACAAGTATCCAGGCCAGGACCGAGTCCAACAGGCGTGTAGAACTTGAGGCCCTCATGCGGCTCTATCATGAGATAGGGATCGTCCTCCGGTGATTGTTTGACAGTGTCCATGACCGACATGCGATTCTGACCGTGGCGGGGGAACATCGGAGCTGTTCAGAAATCGATGGAAACACGTGCCTTGTCCAAGTCCCTTGGCAGCAGTCTCCAGCGTGCTGCTTTCACCAGAACTTGACTGGCACTTTCCTCTCCCAGCTTCCCTCAGCTAGGATAATGCAACTCTTCGAAGCACGCAGGACGGAACATGAAGAATATGCCTAGCTTTCAGGCTAGCCTCGGAATAGAACCGCCCACAAGCCTTGCGGTGAGCTGGACACATCATCGAGGCAGTAGAACCTGAGATTCGTAAACTCGTCTCTTCCAAGTCTGCTCGAGTGTGAAGTCTGATCTCCGATATTGTCGCAACTTTTCGGGCGCTTTGCGGATCTTTGTGGTGTGGCAAGCAGCAGCCAAAGGATGGCCCCGGCCAACGCCGCCCCAAGCAAGGCTCCGGTGCTGGAATTCGCCAGGCGCCAAAAAGCGGACTGGTGCGCGTCCTCCTCGGCCCGCCGCCGCTCCTCAGAGGACGCAACACTCCTCAGACACTCAAGAGATCTCAAGAGATCTCAAGAGATCTCAAGACCGACGCCTGACGATGTTCGGTGAAAGTAACGCATGGTACCCACAGGCTCCAAAAAAAATTCCGACCACACCACACATCACCAATGCCAAGCCACGTAGTCGTCCATGATCCGTCTCATGCTCTCGGGCATGTCTGGTGGAAGTCCAGCAGCTGACTGCGTCCAGCGGTGTGAGCTGAAACGCCCGGCCATGCCCCAGGTAGAGACCTGGCACTGTGCCACGATTTAGGGCATGTCTGCTGGTGCGAAAGTGTCCATCCGTCAGGACAGCGTATATCAGCATTAAAGCAGCATGTTGTGGCCTTGTAGCAGCTCCATCTCTGCATCTGCAACATACTCCGCAGCGCCAGGCTCGCACGAGCCATTGCCAACAGGGCGCAGATGCGCACGGATGCGCACGGCAGGTTGGAGTCAGGGGGTATGCAGCAGTTATCTGTGGAATCCGCTGAGGCCTCCTGGCCTGAGGTGTTCGGGTACAAAAACAACCCGCAATGCTCCTTTATTCCCCGGCATCCAAAGCCAAACTTTCCAACCTCATTTTCCTCAGGATCTCTCTGGATACTCGAATGCACCCCCGTATGGACTCTCATAAGGACTATGGACTTTCATGGGACCCTTGCACGGACCTCGACACACTGTGGCGCATATACTGCCACGACCCCCTATGACCCCTCACGGAAAAACACACTGTGGAAACCTACAGACCGCCCTCCGGCCCTGTCGTAGCGGGTTTGTAGAACGGAGTCTGCATCTTGTGTGGATTCCCTAAGCTCTCCCTGCCTAGGGTCGCCCTGTCGTCGACGTAGCAAAAGCCTTTAAAGTGATATCGGGATATTCATTTTACACAGTGGAAAAGTGGAGAACTCATCGCGCAGTGCTGTCGAGCGTGGGACGGCTCACTGCAAGGCAATTCACCGCACAACGCAGGCCACCGTCATGAGCACTGGGAGGCTCAGCAACCCATGGAGCTCCAACAAGGCCCCGGAACAGCACCGGCTTGCGTGCATGCGTGAGCATGGAGCACTTCTGCACACGCGAAGGATAGTGTTGCTTCTGACGAAGGGGCACACAGGAAAAAGGGTCGTCTGGCAGTCTAGCATCGGGCGTCACGCTGGCAAGAATGTTTAGGATGCTGACAGGGCTTGCTTGGCACTCTCTTGTCCATGACCCTTGAGTCACATGATGCCGTAGAATCCACACGAAATGAGCAGCTGCCATTGGAGTTCAAGTGCTGCCAGCGGACAGAAACAACATCCCGTGGCCTTTTCACATACATACGCCGTTCTCTCTATCGAGTGGCTCCTGGCACAAGAAGAAAACGCACCGCACGGCCCACCATCCAAGAGTCTCTCAAGATCCTCTCACCAATTGTAATCCGCCGAGGCCTCGGGCCGGAGGTGTATAGGTTGTCAGAACAGGCACCCCCCTCCAAACCTCCCCCCACAAATGGGCACCCCCTACCCACCCCCCCCCCCCCCCCCCCCCCCCCCCCCCCCCCCCCCCTCCCCTCCCCCCACCCCACCTCCCCCCTCCCCCCCACCCTGCCGAAGAGTCGCCTTAAACCTTAAGGGGCCTGGCTCAACCCTACGATCACTCCAAGCCGAACCCTAAACCCAAAAAAACCCTCAACCCCAAAGCGTGAACCTTGAGCCCTAAACTAACCCTCAACCCCAAACCATAAACCATAAACCCGGAACCCTCAACCCTCAACCCTCAACCCAACCCTTATTGCTTGGGGTCCTGCGGAATCACCATGCTCACGCGGATGCGCTGGGCCGGGCCGAGGCGGGTCGCGTAGCGTTAAAATTACCCCGCTTACCCGGCTTACCCTGTATTCTGCGCCGTCTGGACTTCGGCAATGAAAGCCAGGCCATTGGCCTGCTGTTGCGCTACAGCGAAGCAAGTTTGAGGCACAAGGAAGTCCAACTCCAGCCTGACAGATGCGCGCCGCACGAGCAATGCAGTCCGAGTTCTCCCAGACTGCCACGTCCGTGGGCATCTCGAGGTTGCACTGGCACAATCCACGGATCGCATCGCGCTTCGACACGGAAACACAACTCATTTAAAAACAGGAAGTGGACGCATGAACACTCAACACACGGAGGCAAAGTCACAGCCTGCCTCCAACTGCGTTCGCCACTTGGCAATGCGGACTCCCGATTTGTAGAAGTCCTAGTCGGTGTTCTCCGTTCATTCACATCTTTATGTCCAAAAAAGGCCCCAGAGTGAAGAAATGCACAAGACTGGCCTCGCATCTCTCTTGCAAGAGGACCTGCTCTCAGCATCCCCATTTTGACTTCACTTTGGCCGAATGAATTCTGAGGTCATGGCAATTCCTTCGGTGCCCTTTTCCCCGAAGCTGTTCAACCTTGTGGAGGCTCCGGAGTGCGGGAGTCCAAACGCATCCGGATAATCGCATGTCGGTTGATGTCGGTTCTCGAAAGCTTCATGGCTTCATGGATTTGAGGAGAAGCTGAGGTCTATGCGGCACGAAGCCTTGATCGACTCGCATCTGGCATTTCAGGCTTCAGAAGGCAGGGAGGCTCAAAATGAGCAAATGAAAGCAAAGCATGTCCAACTTTGACAAGTCCAGGCAAAGCTCTTTAATATGAGAGTTGCACTGCTGGCGGTCTCATTTACACGTACTCCCGCACCAGTGCCAAAGCCTTTGGAAGCCACAAACATGCAGGGCTTGCCGCTGGAACAACCTCAGAGATTGCAGAGTTGTGCATTTGTCCGAACGTGTGTGTTTGCTTCCTTCCGCCTTTCCTCGCCGTTCCGCTCTCAACCACAGATCCATCACAAATCCAGCTCAGCGAAGCGCGCCCTGGTCAGAGAGAATCTGCGGAAGTGTCCTCCGGAAGACGGAAGTCCGGGAATGTCCCGGAAGTCTGACATGTCTGGCCGATTCTGTGAAGCCAGCGCCTCGCAGCGTCGTCGGTGTAGTTCAAGGCCTCCTCTTCCATGACAACGGCAGAGCAGTACCTTTTGCAATTCTTAGATTCTACGGCTCTTTACAGCACTTTCACTGCGCGTCACAAGTCCATCTCACAACACTGGAGATGCGCACGGCTGCAAGCCGTTTGTGTAGCAGAACTCCCGCCACCTCTGCCGGCTCTCCTGAAACCAAAAAGACGGCTGCAAGATGCTGCAAGGCTTCAGTTCTTTCATGTTCCGCATGTGCTTCCGTATCAGCCATTCTCTCACTTTTCAGGTCCAACGCCTCGTTCGGCTCCATTCCGGCTGCTTCCAAGCCTTTGTCCCCCCGTTTGACAACGGGCCACACACTTGAGGCAAAAGCCTCATCAGAAGAGGCCCCGCCGAGTCACAGGCAGGACATGAGCTCTCTTCCCGAACCCTCCGCCTGAAGACTAGACTAGAACGAGCACGCGTCTCGTGAAAGCGAAGAACAAGGTCAAGTCCGTTTGACAGGGCGTCCCGCATCCAGAAGGCCAACACCCCGCTGCGCGAGACATTTCACATTGGCCTAGACACACGAAAAATCTGGGCTCGAGCAAACTAACTCAGCGTGCTTCGTGCAGGGATGCCTTCATCTCTGCCATAAATGGGTTGATCGGCTCAATGGCGAACGGCTGCAGAACCCGTCGAAGGAGTCGAAGGTGCCTTGTCCGCCAGGTACGCCTGGTCAGCACTTTCCACCAACAGCGTAAAGCTGCTGTGACAGGCGGCTGCGTTGCGACTTTTCTCAACTTGCCGAAAGCAGTTTTGCCTTGACACTTTCCCCAGGGCGCAGCCCACAGCTGCAGCCAGCACAGGTATGGCCCGAGGCCTTGTCACCGCGCAAGTCCAACGGCGGACCTACTAAAGTTACTAAACTTGCTAATAGTGTGAACAGCATGAGTAGTATGAATGTATGAGGAGTATGAGTAGTATAAAAAATATGAATAGTATGAAGAGTATGAGAAGTATGAATAGTATGAGTAGTATGAATAGTATGAATAATATGAATAACATGAACAGTATGATTAGCATGAATAGTATGAATAGTATGAACAGTATGAAGAGTATGAAGAGTATGAAGAGTATGAAGAGTATGAAGAGTATGAAGAGTATGAATAGTATGAATAGTATGAATAGTATGAATAATACGAAGAGTATGAACCAAAGTATGAACAGTATGAACTGTATGAATGCCCCCAAGTCCCTGCCTTGAGGGGGGCCTGCTAGCGCAGGCCGAAGAAGTCTGCAGTCCTGGTCTTTCAGCAAGCGCCAAGCAAACAAATTGCTGCTGTGGCCCACATCTACCTCCACAAAACGGCAATGAAGACCCAAGACCAGCAATCAAGTGAGCCAAATTCACACATGTCTCATGTCTTGAACTTCAACCTTTCGTTTCGTGCAAATCTCAGCGAATGTCCTTGGCAAGCACACGGCCCAGAAGGATTCAAACGCTGAGCACATGTCGCAGCCTTAAGACAGCTCAATATGTGCAACTTGGCTGCACGCATGCTGTGAGGTTGCACGCAACCAAGGCCTCGAAGGCTGGGAGCATCATCGCAAAGGCCAAGGATATGTTCTGATCAAGCTGTATGTGTTTTATGTGCTTTTGTGGTTGGTCTATGCCCCCACATAACCGGACTTTGATTGGTATCGCATGGTGACTCTTGTGTGTAAGCAAGCTTGGCGATGACACGTGGACAATGGCAAGCAAAGTGCACACGCATGCTTCATCAAAAGCATGATGACCGGCAATCAACTGTGCTGTAACATTTAATTTTGTCTTTGAGTCCGCTTGTTGAGCGTTCGGTGAGACCGGCTTGCTAAGGGCCTGAAGCTGCTACAAAGGTCATGTCTCTGGGGATACCAGGTTTCCAGATGGAATCAGTTTGAGGTGTTAAGCTGCTAAGCGAGAAGGCGCTTCAACTCATGCGGAACATGTTTCAGTCACATCCTGGTTTAATGGAGCACTGATGGAGCATCACAGCGCCACCCACGCCTCCGACCACACAGCCAAGACTTTGGCGGGGCAGATTTGGGGACATGTGGAGGCAACCCAATTCTGCCTGGCCTCCCATGCACGCGTTAGGCCACACGAGAAGCGCAGATTCGCTTGGGGAAACATTGTCCTGAACTGGAGGAAGATGCCCAAGCACCTCAGCAGCGGTGCCGATGCCTCGACATCCTCGACACTAGCATGAGTACTTCCACGCGACCTTGTCCCGCACTTCTCGGGCGTGGGCGACAGGCAGGGAGGGGCAGATGTGTAAAGCTCGACCTTGCAAAAAGCCAGAAAGTGAAGGCAAAGTGCCTTGCAAAACCCTTTCACAAGTTCAGACCTCGCCGATCATCAAGAGCTCTCGCTGCCGACAGAGCGATCCAAGGAGCTGCGCCTCACAACGGGCAGCCCAGCGGCCCGATGTTCTCGCCCCAGACAGCAGAGGATGAAAAATGGATGAATGTAGCAGATGCCTCTATGTAGAGTTTACACAGATGCGTTCGTGGACTTAGAAAGCCGCTGCTTGCTCCAAAATGGCATTGCCGGGCCTCGGCGCACAAAGCCCTGTCCACCCAGGGACTGAGAGGCAAATCCGTGGGTGCGAGCCACCTGGGTCGACGTACACTCAACACATCGCAACACAAACTCAGCGCACATATCAAGCACACAGCATCAGACTTTGGCGCATCACGGGCACGTTCAAGCGCTTCTGACTTCTCTGCCATCCACCTCAACCTTCAAAGGGCTGCACCTGGTATCTGCATATCCTTCTGCCCCAAAGCCATTCTCAAACCTGTCAGTCAAGCGGAAGCGGCTTTTAGGGACGAAACACTGCTGACGAAACAACAACAGCAGGCAATTCAACCCTGGGATTGCGCCAAGTCGCAGAAGGCTGCCTCTCGTTTGGCGGGCTCCTTCAAAGCTCCAAAAACTGTGGCGCTTTGATGCGCTTTTCACGTCAGTCACGTCAAGCACGTCAGCTTCGCAGTCAACACGGGCCTGTGGTGTACTCGGCGTAGGCAAGGATGCGAGGCCGGCGCCGGCCATGAACGGGCCTTTTTGTGCGGAGTGTTTCTACATGCCTTATAAAGCACGACGCTGTCGGGATCTCTGTTCCGCGTTTTCAAAAACTCTGAAGAATTCGCGCACACTGCCTTGCAAGGTATTTTCCTTGAAGACGTGCCGGCTAAGCTCTGCTCAAATTCGGGGTGATGCAGAGCGACGGACGACAGGCTAATACACAGATGCCCGCCGGCTGAAATCCAAACCTCTAAAGTCGAAAGTGTTCAAAAGTCCGAGATGCGCATGGTGCACTCTACACATTGACTGCGCCAAGGCTGGGGGTTTGAAAGCGCTCATGTATGTCCTCGTCGGCGAAACGGGACGTGCACAATCTTCACGCACCTCTGCCACGGCCATCGCCACTGAGGGTTCACCACTGTGTCCAAGTGCGCCCAAGAAATTGTCACCATCCATGACATCCACAAAGTGCAGCAGACCTCGCTCAGCTTTCCCCTGCTACCTTGGCCCGGCTGCAAGCCCACCCGTACAACTGCAGCTGCAGCATGTGATCCAGGCTGCGCAACCGCCCTCGGCTCACCCTTGCCATTTTTGGTGCTGACAATCTCAAGCTAAGCTGAACGACCCCTATAGGGGCTACACCTTTGCGTGCCTTTACCCCACAAAGCGCATCAATGCGCTGCCACCTTGCCCTGTACTTGGCAAACTCCTCGGGGAGATATGGCCACTGCCATCTGCATCCAGGCGCGCAAAGAGGTCCTTGGAGGGTGGAAGCTCGAGGACGGTAACACGAGGCCTCGAACTGCGGAAAAACAACCGAAAAGCGCCCAAGAGCTAGTTGGCCCCGGGTACGAGCACATCTGTAGCTTCAATTTGGCACAACCGATGGCAGCTTCCCGGGAGCGATGGGGTACGTGTACTGAAGCTCAGGCGCGGTAGCGGCAGGCACTGGGGCTGGGTAGGTGACCGTAGCTCGGTGGGTTCGGGCCGGAGGCCGGTGGCAGGCACGGGAGTTCCGCAGCCAACCGGAGCTCCGTAGGCGCCAGGCACCGGAGCTCCGTAGGCCCTGGTGCTTGCGCTGCCGGCAGCTATTGCTAGCTGTTGTTAGGAATCGCCAGCGAAAGAACCAACCAGGGGCCTCAACACGACAAAGCTCCCTGCCCTTCAAACTGAACTAGGTGTCAGGGTCGTGAACAATGCAAGGCAGAAGCACTCATGCTGCATCAGCAGGAGTGTGGAATCGCCCTCCTCGGCGGTTTCCTGTACCGCTTCCATCTGCTGGCAAATGCCACGGCTTCAGCATCAACTTTTTCTTTGCAGTGTAGGTGACTTTGAAGCATTGGACGCTGTCAGACGGATTCCGAGATGGGACCTTGTTGGCATGGTGGCGTGGCTCTTGGCTCTTTCCACCATTGTCCTGATGCTCCATGAGAACTTCGGCGCTGAAAGAGCTGGTTCAGGCAACTGGGTTCTTTCCGCGTTGCTTCGCCGACCGGTGGCTCAGAAACCAGATGGATCTTCCACATCGGTGCGGAAAGCAGCCGATGACTCGTGATCCATGGCTGGAGAAGTCAGAAGACTCCAAGCGAAGTGAATGACAGCAGATGACAACAGTCAGGCTGCCGAAGGGTGCTTCTCGCAGCTCCCTTGCTCCTTGCTCCCTTACAGAATCTGCCATGTCTGCTTCATGCTCCGCGACTTGAGCCAGGAAGAACCGGGTTAAGGCCCAGATCACGAAAGGTACCGAAGGCACTCGGATGCCTGCATGCCCTGATTTACTCTTCCCCTAGAGGCTTGAAGCGGCTAAACTCTTTTTTTGGCGCTTTCCAGAACACTTGGTCGGCTTCAGAGTCTTCGCTTCAAGGCAAAGGCTGTGCAGCGCGAGAGTTCAAATTCTCGCAGAAGCCGCGGCCATTGAAGGGCATTGAAGGGCATTGAAGGGCATGCGACCTCTCCATGTTGCTCTCCTGGGTCTCCGTGGCATGTAGTCCTTGGCCTGCGCATCGGTCAGCATATAGCTACTGGCATACTGGCATTTTCACATCCAGTATTTGGCGAGCCATCGCTTGGCAGGAGACGCATCAGCTGTCTCCTGTCAATCGAACACTTCACATGTCCGTCTCAGTCTTCTCGTTGAATGCATTTGCCGAGACCGAAGTGTCTGATGCGCGGGGATGCTAAGCGCGTGTGTTGGCTCAGCGGGACGCGGGACTTGCTCTGACTCGCCGGCCGATCACTAGCTTCCAATATTCGCGTTGTTTGCTTGCGCGTGTGCTGTGGGGTGATTTGGCTGTTGCAGTGGCGATGGAGGGAGGTGCGCCGCAAAAACGGCACTAGGCCAAAAAATAAGGGTTCCCTAGAGATGCAAACAATGGACTACTAGAACTGTGGTCCTGCTGGCCATTGCCAGCGTCATTGTTGGTGTTCCTCCCCACCACCTGGTAGTGAAGAGGAATGCCCGAAGGCTTTTCCTTGGTGCAGCCACGGCGCAGCAACAGGTAGCGGGTAGCAAGATGCATGCCTCCATGCAATTGCTCTTGCTGTTGTTTGCGAAGCATCCTCCATGTAGTTCTCGACTCTTGCCTGAACTGGACTTTTGCAAGCTTCCGGAGACGATTCCTGCACAAAACAGCACAAGCGCACAAGTCGGCAGATGATGGGAAGCCGAGAACTAGACCTCGCCTCGTCAGATTCCTCCTCATCTGCCCTCTGCGAAGCCGCCTTGAACGCTCGTCGTTCAGAGGCCTCTCTTTTCGCAGCAGTTCTTCGGACAGCCTCTCTCCTGGCAGTCTCCTTGGCAGTCTCCTGCTGATTTGCTGTGAACTCAGCTTCAATGTCGGCCTGCGGCGCACCCGTTGGATCCAACCCCTCTCTAGCAGATAGCTCGGCAACACGATGCAAGCTATTGCAAGCTGACACCAACATTCGAGCGGCAAATGAAAGCCGCTTGCTGGAGCTGATGGGGCACAGCACAGACTGCTCCTGGGCTTCGTGAGGTGATCGTGTCGGACAGTCGGCACATCCCAGAGAGTCGCAAAGTGCGAACGGGTGGCCAGCATGCTGCCAAGCTGCTTGTGCAAGTAGATCAATAAAGGCATCCGCTGATGGCAGCTGCAATGTCGTGTCCTTGGTCGGCATCTGCGCATCTGTGGAGACGTCTGCCGTAGCATTGTGGATCATGGATTTCCCAACGCAGCCAAATGTCTGCCAACAAGTCAGCTGCACGCAGTGCAGGCGCGAGCACCACGCCCGTCTGAGCCTTTCGGCAGACAGTGATACAAACATTGAACACACCGAGCGGCAGCTCTAGCAGACACGAGGATAAGACGTGAAAGCCCGAAAGCGCCGAGTCGCCGGTAAGAGGAGTAGTACTTTTCCTTCCAGTACCAGAACATCGGACTGCGTGCTGGCGGCGGAGCCACCGAAACGCTGGTCCTGCGTGTTGACGACCTCACATGCTCCAGAACGATTCCAGAGCGCTGTGTCTGGGACGCGAAAGCAGGATCCCAAGCGCCACAGCCTTTCGGCTACCAAGACTGGGCTGCCCGGCTGTCTTGAAGGCACACGTCACACCTTGAGGAAACTCGGGTTCACATGGACCATTAGATATCGTGAAGTGCGACATCAAGTGACGGACACAAATGTGATGTGTTCTCCGCGCCTTTCAGTTGCGGGATGTCAAGGTTGAGGTTCAGCTGGCTCGTGCTAAAGTTGATGGCAAAGATGACCGAACTTCGAGTGAAGACAAGCAGCTGCTTCTTTTCATCCTCGCCATTCAACGCTGACAGTTCTGACAGGTCATGACGACACACATCTGCTGCTTCTGCTGTGGATGGCCTTGTGGATCACCTCGGGCTTGGGATCTGCTAACCACTGAAGACTCCGCTCTGTCCGAAGCAGGCACATCTGGAACATAGCCAGGTGCTTGTAGCTAGACGTGGCATCCTCAGAACACCGGTACTATCCCGGCACGATCCGGTACATTCTTCAGGACTCGTCTCAACTTTTTCCCTAAGAAATTGCAGCATCACCGAGCTCAAGGCAGCTGCAAGCTCCAAGGGGAAGCGAGCGTGCTCATCACTGAACTCATTGCTCTTTCTGGGAAAGTCAATCTTGCCTGAGAGGACGTCAAAACTCAAAAGAGGTGACATGCTCCTGTCAATCCACTGCTCGGACGACAGCTTATGCTCGCAGCTTATGCTCAGAGTGAGCGCTTCTTGCATCCCTCGGCCAAGGTGCCTGTCCAACCAAAGTCGCTTCCCAGACATGTCAGGGTCGCATCACCGCCAAAGCCGAGGCACAGCAAGCCTCGGCTGCCGGTTCACCGACTTGGACAGGGAGAGGGAGAGGGAGAGGGAGAGGGAGAGGGGGGGTGGGGGGGGGGGGGGATGCGGAGAGGGTGTCGCAAGGACGAAAGGACGCAAGGAAGAAAGCATCACTGGGAAGCGCGTCATGGCAGAGACCAGGGGCGCCCAAGCTTGAGCAGCGCGGTGGCGCCGTTCCCCAGCGAGGAGGCCAAGGGCGGTTTCGGCGGCCTGCGGCTTTTCGCCATGTTCGCAACCTTCGTCGCCTCCGCATCGGGCGCCTCCTGGCGCCAGAGCTGGAAAAAAACGCTATCAAAATCTTTTGGTTCCTAGAGTTGTCATAGTGTTGTCATACTGTTCTCCTACCCAGGCTCCTCAAGGCCAAGCAGGCTCAGGTAAGCCTCCTCCGTGCGCTTCGCCAAGAAGTCCCAAAGAAAATGGTCTTGCACTTGCTGTTGCCCTTGCTCGCCCATCCACCCTTGGAGTTCAAGACTCTCTTCCCGTCTCTTCCCCGAAAGGCATGTGACTTATCCCCTTCTAGGCTGGTGGCGAGCATGCTCCCGATTCTCGCAAATCTTGCAGAGACCCCATGCAATGCTGCCTGACTCCTTCGTTGGACGATGGCTGGCGGCGTGATTTGGAGTTGGGAGCCGAGAAAGCGCTCACATGTGCGCTCGCGTGTGAACCACGTCCTGGTCTACCAGGTAGCCCGTGGCATCCGGCTGTACCAGTCGCGGGAGCTCGCCGCAGGAACTGCCCACAACTGGCCTGGCTGGACCCCGGCCCATCAACACAAAAGCTCGGTCTGCAAAGCTGAATCAAAGCAGCACCGCGCATTGTGACAGCTGCGGGTGCGTTCCCTGCCTTCCGGCTGCCCAGCTTTCAATGACGGACACCCCGTAGTTATCTTGCCGTGCTGGTATGACTACCTCGGCTTCGGCTGTGGAGGCAACGAGCGTTTCTGGCATTCTTGATGCTAGCGACTATAGGTTGTTTGCAAGTCGCAAACCTGGCTATGCCAAAACAAGAGATCCCCAGAGAAGCAAATGGGAGCACGGTGGCTCAGAGCGCGGGTCAGTCTCAACGTGTTTTTTGTGATGCATTCTGCTGGACATGTGTTGTTCACATGCTTGTTGATTGCCAGGATGCCGCATCGCATGCGGCCACGTACCTCAGGTAGTCTTCGGTCCCTGGCTGCAGAGCCTCAACAGGTCTGCGACATTCTGCACAAGATTTCGGTCGCTCTTCACTGTCTGTGAGGTAGCATCCACAGAGACCAGAACCCATGCGGGCTTGCAAGAGGTCTTCAGCAGACGTTAGCAGCTTAAATGCAGTCCACCGCAAGGATAGCTACAGCACCGATGACTCACAACGAGGAGCAATAACTCACAGCACCTGAGGCTTAGCAGCAGGATGGCAACGTCCACAGCTGCGTATCGACCGCTCCCCGACTTTGCTTCACACTTGCAGATAGCTCTGGCACTGAAGCATGCAGCCATCCGAATATGCTGGACCCTGCTTCCACTTGCCGAAGAGCCAAAACAATCCAAACACCTTTTGCCAAATCACTTGACGTGGTTCCGCCTAGCACCCAATCCTACTCTTCCTTCCCATGGTGGCCTTCGCGAAGGTGACCGAGGACTCCACGTTCAACTCGGCAGCTCGGCGCTCGAGGCCCCCACGCAGGTGACCAGTGCCTCATCTCAAAAAGGGACCCATGTTCCCGAATGAAACACGAGGGGTCCTACTGGGCTTGAGGAGATGGGCTCAACACAAAAACGAGAGACGCAGATAGAGAGAGAGAGAGAGTGAGAGCGAGAGAGAAAAAAAATCGATCAACACACGTAGATTCACAGGCACGGCACCCGCTATGATGAAGTGGGCGTCACGCCAGTGTTGCAAGACGAACGGCACAGCCTAGACAGGACAGCAGAAAGCTTTAAACATGCGAACGGTGTTACACAGAGAGCTTGCTCCATGAAGTCGCGGTCGCGACTCGGATCCTTGCCTCGAGCAGTACGTCTGGACCCTTCTGTGGAAGAAGTCGGCCTGAATACAGCAGAACCTTAGCATGCAGCATGCTTTCGTCACCAATGTTGTCTGCACTAGGATCCCAGGTTCAGCAAGAAGCGGTCACAAGCGAGAACTCGTCACAACACGAACCAAGCATCTACGAGGATGTTTTTGCTTATGTCATACGCCATACTTGACAAGCGAAGCTGGCAATAGCATGATGTCCGATGTAACAAACGAGCGGCTGGTGCCGTCTCATCAAGGTCCAAGTCCTCTCGCGCTTCCTTCTGCATGTCCACGGTGAGCTTCTCAATGGCCTCTGCACCTCAGTGAGTATACCAATATTCAGAATCATGATAATATTAAGAATATTAGGAAGATTAAGAATATTAAGAATATTAAGAATATTCAGAATATCAAGAATAGTAAGAATAATAAGAATATTAAGAAGATTAAGAATATTGAGAATATTCATCATATTCATCATATTCATCATATTCATCATATTCATCATATTCATCATATTCATCATATTCATCATATTTATCATATTCATCATATTCATCATATTCATCATATTCATCATATTCAACATATTCATCATATTCATCATATTCATCATATTCATCATATTCATCATATTCATCATATTCATCATATTCATCACATTCATCATATTCATCAGATTCATCACATTCATCATATTCATCATATTCATCATATTCATCATATTCATCATATTCATCATATTCATCACATTAATCATATTCAGAATATTCATTAAAAAATCATAGTATTCGTAATATTAATAATGGAGTGTGCGTGTCTGTGTCAAACGGAGCAATGTGTGAAAGTCAAACAAAGCTTCCGACCATTGTGAACCACCTGGACGTCTTTGCCTTTCAAGTCATACTGCGAATAAACTCCATCACCTCAGGAAGCGAGTCAGCTTTCAGTCACGGAAGTAGGGTGCTCGCTTCAGGTCCGTACCCTTCTAGTTCAGGCGACAAGCACCTGCTAATCATGTTGTGACTTTTACCAAAACCACGGAAAGCTAAAAACATGCTAAATGCTAGGCTGGTGGCGAACTGTTTGTGATGCTGCAAACAACTTGTCGAACATGTTGAATGCCTCGCCCTCAAGACTGATGACTTGCTCACTTTGTCCACCTGGACAAAAAAGTGCGAAAACATGCGAAAACATGTGCAGCTCTGTCTCTCGCGCTCTCTCTCTCGCTCTTTCTGTCTTTTTCTCAACGCAAAAGCTGGCACCATAGTCTGCACCGCTGGATCGGCCCTGCTCCGTGGAGTGGATGGTGAGAACCGAGCGCACGTCCTTGCGCAGCTCCGCGCGAGTTCGAGCAACCAGCCTTAAGGAAGCAAAGCTGCGAGGCTCAACATGGCTCAACCAACACAACACGAGCCTCCATTTGAGAGCGAAAGAGAACTTCGTATAACTTTTTAGAAGATGTTAGAAAGCTCACCACCGCACAACGGCAGAGGTCTTCCAGGCACGGGTGTGAGATTCCGCTGGCCGTCGTGAACCAGCTGATAAGTGACAAGCCCTACAGTTCTTGCGAGGACCAAGGTGACCTGAAACCATCGAACGCAACGCGGAGCTGACTCGAGTTAAAGCAGGGTATGGGCTGTATTTTGGCAAATCAAATTCCGGAAAGCCGGAGTGAAGGGGTCTTTCCAGTCCGCAACCTGCTTGATGATGGTTATGGCCTTCACGACGCCCCCTATGAATCCCTCCCCTGACGACCGAGTTTGGAAGGCACAAAAACCAGGACGGAGGTGCCCCGAGGCCTTCATTCAAGGCCGACGTACAAAGTTGACTACACGAAGTTGCCCAGCAAAGCGAGGGCAAAATACCAAGACGCTGAAGCTCGACAAACAGGGGCATGAAGGAAGCATTGCACAGACGCAGCAAAAAAAGAAACAACAAACTCTGCAGGGCTGGACTTCCCGCTTTCCTGCTGGCCCGTAAGCCCGGTGAAATCCAGAGTGTTTCCAGTCTTCAATCGAGGAGCCACTCGTGGCCATGGACTACATCAAAAGGTCCGTGGGTCGCTTCATGGCCAGCCACAGCTGCTGCCAAGGCCTTGCAAAAGTTGCCGGTTTCCTCCACGAAGTCCATGCTTATTTGAAAAGGCACCTGACCGTTGCAGAGCGTGACCCTGCCGATTGACCATCAACTCATATCAACTCTTTCAATTTTGGGTAACGTCTGCCCGGCCCCACCCGGCCTCGTGGTAAACCACACCCTTCACTGTCTCCACAGAGATCTTGGTGCCATGGCTAGCCCGTGTGAAGACGTGGACTTCGTTGCCACGGCGTACGAGTGCTTCGCTGAGGTTGGTCACGTAGGGAGCCACAACGCCGCCCGATACAGTGTGGACCGTCTCCCACGCCAACATGCAAACGGAGAGCCTCAGATGAGTCGCGCAGCTATGTGAATTCTTGCCTGCTCTATGTCTTGCTCCTGCTTGCGCCAGGCCACGGACCCTGGCTGACAACGAAGTCCTGACGGAGCTGCAGCAAGCTGCACGTGTCAGAAACATTCAGGTCGGGACATTGCCCTCGTGCCACATGGCGTCCTCTGTGCTTTCCATGCACGTCAAAACGCGATCGTTGCCGCGAGCATTCAAAGGCTCCATCAAGGTGCGCTCCAGCCTCTCCAAGTGCGTGGCCTTGCGCAGACTTGCACCGGCTTGGAAGAGCCGCTTGCTTTCTCTCACTTATTCATTTTTGTAATTAACCACTTGCAAGCCCATCAGTTGCTAACACGAAAGGTTTAGGGTTTAGGGTTTAGGGTTTAGGGTTTAGCAAACATGAAAGGTTTACGGTCAACATCTGAACATATTGGCAGGTCGGCACAACCAATCTCGAACATGAGACAACAAACCGCAGTTTCGAGACCACCCGCTCCCACAACAGCCCACATTCGCGAAAAAAAGACAATTGTAGCGAGACCTTCGGATCTTATGCACATGTTGTCACTGAGCCTTGGAGGAAGGCTCCGCCACAGCCCGGCGTGAGCCGGGCAGAAGTCTGCTAAAATCGCTGAGGTCTTTCTGGCAGAAGTCGCAGCCGAAGCCGCCAGACTCCACCGGATCCTTGGCCGCTTCATGGCTTGACAAGGGAAGGACAAGGGAAGCAACTGGAAAGATTTGATTTCCGAAGCAGGAACGATCTGTCAAGTGTGCCGGGCAAATAGCACAGTCAAGATTCGCACACGGAGTCGACGTCGCCACTGCCAATAATGACAACATCTCTGCCGGCGTCCTGCTGATCCCCAGTTTGGGCGCGGACGTTTTGCTGCTGAAGCCGCTACTCGCGCAACCCACATCTGCAATGATGGCACCCAAAACGGGCGTTGCTTTTCTATCTCAGATGCTTGTTATAAGTTTGCAGCATATGGCTGGCTAGGGTCTGAAGCACTGGCTACTTCCTTGAGGACAAACGTCTAGCGTCTCTTCTTGTAAGGTTTGCTCGGTACACCAGCTTTAGTTCTCGGCTGACCCATACACCACAGACCACAGCAACACCACTCGGGTTCGGGTCACGAGCAAGTGCAAAACACCAGCAAAGACGACCCTTTCTTTCCCAGGCGGCGGACGGCCTCTTAGCTAGGAGAGCAGATCGGGTTTTGGGCCCTCTGCTATCCCCCCCAACCCCCTCAACCGTGGGCAAGTGGCACCAACTTTCGCAGAGGCTTCATCCAAAATTGCCACGACATCTTTCGCGTAGCTGCCATGCCCTTGCCCCCTCATGTGTAAAAACCATCTCTAGAGCACGGTGAACGAAAGAGTTTATGGGATTAACCTGTTTCAGAGCACGGGTTCGCTCTCTTCCGCTACATGAAGTTCAGCACCGACGGATATGGGCACTTCGATGTCATCGCTTTCAGGAGGGCCACGCTTCACGTGCTGCCGGTGTAACCCTTATATACCTCTCGCCACCGATGACTTTCTTGTCTCTCTTTTAGCGACGGGAACCAAGGCCCAGGGCAACCCGGCACTATCTCCAGCTGGCCGAGGTAGCGGGGAGCGCCTTGCCGAACAGCCTGAAGCCGAGCCCAAATTGTCCCGTTCCGACCGAGCCGCGAGGAGGAGCCGATCCAAAAGGAGTTCAACATCAGCCGGCCGCGACGAAACCAAAAGGATGCAAACCGGAGATTGCGGTCGAAAAGCGTATCAGGAGTTGCGGCACTGTCGCTCACCCACTACTTCGGCCGGCTCTTCCAATCTCAGCAAAGCAAAGCTTTCAGCCTACAGGAGAAGCTGGCGGGCAAAATCCACAGGCTCCAGCGCGAACAGGCCGAAGAGCATTGCAGGTTCACACGGTGGATTCTGTTGCGAGGAAAAGGCAACATCCGGAGACGCTCGCGCTAGAGGCCGGGCAGAAGCGAGCTTCTCGTTACAGCAAAAACGGACGGCAACGCAGTGCCGGCAAGTTGCCCTTGCCACGTTTGTGACAAGTGCGTTGTGCCCAGCGTACGACACCGGTGTTGTGACGAGCTTGTGGCACCTTGGTGCGTGTCAACAAATTTCCAAGCACAGGTTCCTGCATTTCAATTATCTGCCGGGTGGCCCTCGCAGGCGAGGTCACCGCGAGCAGCAACCGTTTTCTTTCCTTGAAAGCACATGGCCACTTAAGACACAGGTCTCTGGCTGGGCAGAGGAAGCTCGCCGGCTTCTTGTGGACGAGGTGAGGGATAATCAATGCTAGGGGGGGAGTGGACTTGCTTCTACACGCCGACGAACTCCGAACGGCTGTTGACACGGGGGACTCCCAACTGACATGCGTCGAGCTCGGCTTCCTTTTCTAGACGGCAACAAAACCAGAGGCGAGGTCCGTGGCGTTTTATCGTTCTCGGAAAAAGCTTCTGTCCGAGGACACTTCCAGGTGCCTCGCCTTGCCTTCCTGGTGTGTCCTCCGCCGCTGAGCGCAGCACTTCCCCCCCCCCCTGCCGCGGCAAGAGGGCAGAGCAGGGACTTCTATACATACCCCAAACTCTTCAAGCTCGCACGCCTAGGCTGAGTGAAAAACCGGCATAATTAGCTCAAATTCGGACAGCCTTGACTTCACACATGCCAAGAATGGCCCGGGGCTTGAACTCGCAACTTTCCTATGTAGCATGTTAAGCACAAGCGGGGATGATCCCGCGTCCTTTGCGGCCAACTTCGCAAGGGAGGCCATGATCATGGCGAAATTGGCCGCCGGGGTCTCCGCCTCATCCTCGCTCCCCTCCACACCCGGCAGACCATCCTCATGCACAGCATTCTAGAAGCAAGTCTCGATCGCAGGCAGGCCTCAATTCCTAAGACCACTAAGTCTCGGCATGCATTGGGGCTAGTCTGTGACCCGGCTTCCGAGTTCAGCCGAAGATCCATTCGGAATCCATCGACTCCAGTCTCCACCCAATGCCTGCACAAGGCACTGTCAAAGCACCTGATGTGCCCCGTCAAGAGGCTTACTTCGTGCTTTGCGGACAACGGCAGCTGAACAAGCAAACTATCAAGGGCCACAGCCACCATCACTGCTCAAAGCTGGTCAAGTTGCTTGATCGAATACAGCAGATGTTGAGCGACCTCTTTCCGAGCGAAATCGAAGCTCCTCACCGCCGCACGGGTGTTTTCAGCTTGGAAATACCATCGCGGTAGGCTGGACAGGGAAGGGTCGGCACCAGACGCCAGGTCCAAGATGACAGCCAGGCCAAGGTCATGTGCCTTCTGAAGGAATGCCAAGAAGTCTGGTGGATCTCCCAAGGTTGGCGAGACTGTCATGAGGCTGCCCGCCGAGAATCGGGCCTCTGCATTGTGGAGCCCTTTGAGGAGGACACCATGATAGCCAGAATGAGCAGCGCGCTGCAGAAGAGAGCGCGCAAACTTCAAGCTTGGCTTCTGGCCTTTCTGCGCCACAAGCGTGATGTCAAACTCATAAAGGTGGAGCCTTTTGCCCTTGAGCTCCAATTTTTGATGAAGGTCTTTCCTGGATGGACCCCGGCTGATGCTGGTGGGCCAGACGACTGCATTCTGAGATTTCGTCTTGGAATTGATGGCGTAGCGAATGGCCCAAGGAGGGATCATCTCTGTTGCCTCCCCTTCGTTCGGCACAATGTACAGCCTGTACTGGCTGCCCTTTGTGAGTGCTGCGTTTAGGGGAGTCCCGATCTGACAGCACCAAATCTCTGCATTATCTTTGGCCTTTGCAAGGGGGGTACCTGTACGGTTCCACCCATTGAAGTCTCCGAAGAGGTACACCTCTTTGGCATTCGGAACCCATTCTCTGTAGGTCCATCTTCCGCCGTCACCGTGGTGCAAGCCGAAGTCTTTAAAGACCGTGGACAAGTATTCCAGGCTTCCTGGGCTGCGCGCGCTTCTCTCTCTGAGCTTCACAGCCACAAACCGTTTTTGGCTTCCTATAAGAGAGCTCTGCATATTCCAAAAAGTCTTAGACGGGGTCATGAGATGCTCTGAGTGCGAGCACGAGGAACCCAGCTTCGCGAGGGCCTCTTTGCAGCGCTTGGCCCGCTCCTCGCAGCGAGCCTTTCGCTCCTCTGGAGAGACTGTCATCTTGGAGCTCTTCTCGTTGCCCTTCGCCTCCTGGGTTGGGCAGCTTAAGCACAATAAACGTTGCAGAGACGGACTTGCCAGAGTTACGGATACTAGCAGTTGGCACTCTCAATGTTCTGCAGAGGAGATTCAGAGCTGCTGGACTTCGAGGTAGGAGATGGCCTGCAGAAGCTCCTCTCTCTGCGCAGCACGGCGCTCTTTGGAGTTGCTTTCGCCGTTGAACGAGATGAATGAGGAGAGTCGAGAAGGTCCATCGTCGAGGGTCCGAGGACCATTGCTTCTGGATAAACTAAGCCGGCATCGATGGAAGGGTCAAAGAACTCATCCCGAGTCGAAGCTGCCGGAACTACAGATGGCTGCCTGCTCAATGGTGCAGGCTTCCATGTTTTCTTGGGGACGTCCGCTTCCAGCACGCTCTGGCTGCAAACGGTGTAGTCTCCTGGAAAGTAGATGTGGAACATGCCATCTGGCCAAATTGGGCTGCAGATTGTGGAACCATTTGGAGCGATCAGCGCGAAAATTGCGTCAAAGTAGATGTGTAGCGTCACACAGCTGTCAAGATTGAAGCGGAATTGCCGCAGGTACTTCTTCCCACCATCACTTATCTCGAGCGCCAAGTTCACATCTGTTGGCGTGTCGATGTTTTGCTCCTATGCGTAGCACATGCAAATCCGATCTACAGAATATGTGCGGACACAGTAAAGTATCTGCTGGCTTTCAGGGGCTCATAGAGGCTCCTGGAGCCAGCGAGCATCAAGCCACACGCGAATGCCACCCTCCAGCAGAGAGGCCGGCGCAAGCACTTGCGCGGTGCGCGCCGGGATGTACAAGAGGCATGATGACGGCCTGCAGTGGCGAGACGCGAGCAACATGACGGGTTGTGGGCAGTGCCAATGTCCAAGAATCTGCACCTACTTCCCCATCTTCCCCCCATATCCGTGCCTGTTATGTGTGGGTCCCCCCGAGGGCAGGGGCTTGCCATGCCCCTCCTCCAGTCGACAGTGACCACCGAAACGCTCTTCGTCGGTGTCCAACACAATGCGCATCGCCTCGTCCTTTGCGATGCCCACCTCCGAGGCCATTGGCTTATCCCTGAAGCCCTCCGCATTTCTCCGTATCTCTCCATAGCTGTGGCTTAGATTCGCTTAGCTGTTCAGCAAGAAATTTACACTCCTGATCCGCACTCTGAAATAATCCGGCCAAGCTGCTTTGTAGCCTTGAAAGCTCCGGCCGGGATCCAGGTTTACCACGAAGGTGAGGCTACCACGTTCAAAGACCAGCACTTTGTCGCTTTCATTGCAGACTGTGACAAACTCATGCTCTGAACTCAGCCACTTGAACCGATTCTCCAGGGCTATCATCAATTCGTCGAAGTTCTGGAAGTACTTGTAGCGCAACGCCTGGTCGTCAGGCAAGTCCCACCTCCGCCTGCAGAAGTGGTGGCTCCAGCCATTGCTTTGCTGCGGGAAGTCCACCCATTCCGGGTGTCCAAACTCGTTGCCCATGAAGTTCAGGTACCCCGCGCCCCCAATGCCCAGCACCAGCAGCCGAAGCACCTTGTGCAAGGCCAGGCCGCGATCCACCACGATCGAAGGCTCTGGGCACTCCGCCAAGCTCATGCCGTAGTACATCTCTTGATCCATCAACCAGAAGGCAATGGTCTTGTCTCCAACAATGGACTGGTCATGTGACTCCAAGTATCCAATACACTTCTCTTTCCAGCGCTTGTTCGTAAGGGTGTGGCAAATGAAACCTACATCCCAGCGGTCATCAGGAACTTCTCGGAGGAGCTTGATGAACATATCAGGAATCGCCATCGCTAGCCGATAGTCAAATCCAAAGCCACCGTCCTCGATGGGAAGGCAAAGGGTCGGCATGCCACTTACGTCTTCTGCCACGGTGATCGCGGAAGGCAATATGGAATGGATCAAGTCGTTGGCCAGCATCAGATAGACTTGCCCTTCGAGATCTGCATCCCCACCAAAATAGTCATGATAGCTTCCGGAGTAGCCTTTGCCAATGCCATGTGAGAGATAAAGCATGGATGTGACTCCGTCAAACCGGAAGCCATCGAAACGAAATTCTTCCAGCCAATACCGTATGTTCGAGAGAAGGAAACGAAGCACTTCATGCTTCGTAAAGTGAAACAACTTGGAATCCCATTGAGCATGATGGCCTTTGCGTCCGCCATGGGTGTAGCAGTGATCAGTCCCGTCCATCATTGCAATGCCATCCAGTGAGTTGGACGAGCAATGAGCATGAACCAGGTCCATGATCACTGTTAGCCCCAGCGCATGAGCGCGGTCCACAAGCTTTTTCAATTCCTCTGGCGTTCCACATCGGCTTGCCGGCGCGAAGTAGGAAGTAACGTGGTAGCCGAAGGATCCATAGAAGGCATGCTCAGCAACCGCCATCAACTGGACTGTGTTGTATCCCATACGTTTGATTCGTGGAAGCACGGTCTCTGAAAACTCCACATAGGTGGCCACTTTGGGCTCCTTTGAACTCATCCCCACATGCGCCTCATAGATCTTTGGAGACGCAGGCTTGTGCGGCCTGGCAGGGGGGCCAATGGGAACAGGCTCTGCAGCATTGTGAGGATTGTGCGCCGACGTCCCTTCTATCAGGTTGATTTCACTGGCCTGTCGTGCTTGAAAACATATCGTTCCTCCTTTGGTGGAAGCCAGAAAACACCATTGAAAAGGTTGGTGTTGTGATCCTGCCACGCCAGCTGAGCCCAAGCAGGCACCCTCTCGATCCACTTGTGATCGACGGTCTCTACTCCTCAACAGCAAGGCTGCGGGCTTTGCAACCTTTCCCCGGACTATCTCTTGACAAGCGTGGAGCAAGACTTCATCTTCCGGCTATCATGCAGCAATCATGCCTGCTAGTTGCCATCGAGGCGCGAACTTTCACCTGACACTTGTGCTGGATGGCCGGCTTCCCACCGGGCAAATCCGGAAGCTCCACGTACCAGCGTCCAAATCCCTGCTGGAAGGAAGGGGGGGGGGGCTTACAGTTCAGAGGTGAGATGCACATCCTGCAGAACGCTATCCAATGGACACATTTCTACCGAGGTGGCCGGATCACTCACACACACAAGAGCAGGATGAGGTTGCTTGAAGCTCGGTGTTGTTAGCATCCTGGCATGCGAACCCAGCCTCTGACTTTAAAGGCACGGTGTTCTCCCAGCCGTTGAACTCACCGATGAGGAAAACTTGTTTCGCATTGGGTAGCCATTCACGGTAGGTGATGCCCTTTTCCTGCTGGCAAGACTATTCAACTGGCTCGGCACTGCGAAGGCTCACAACGTCACAAGGTGCTGCCAGTCCTGCCGAGTGAAACCAAACTCCCGATAGCCCTCCGCGAACTTTGCAAGTCCCCCCTCCAGCTTCTCCAACTCATCTTTCCACCACCTTGCAACGCAATCAGCACAGAGGGATTCTTTCAGACCTTGGTATCTATGCAGCCGCGCGCCTGAAGCTTTTCACTCGCTCCCATATGAGGTCTCCGACGGACTTTAGAGTCGGGTCCACGTCGAACACTTTCAGCGACATGGCGGACGCCGCAATTCATGGTTGAGAAGTTGACAACTTTCAGGTGTCTCAAGACGGCTTATTGTTCCTGTGGACGTCTAGGCTTGTATCTGATTAATCTGGCATCTGATCCGTGATCCTGACTCAACGCAGACAATACTCCAAGGGGATCACCCATTCTGTTCATGTTCGTGTCGACTTCAATGCGAACTTGCTGCACACACTCAGCTGCAGGCGAACACATAATCTGAATTCGCATCCCAGAATACGGAGAGGTGCCGTGCAACACCTCACCTAGCAGCCGCGACCTCCCACTGAACAGCTTTGGGCGTCCGGCAGCGGCACTCCTTGGCCCTCTGCTATTCTTTGACCTCAGAATCTTCGGAATCTTGGCTTCCAAGATGTCCTTGCGCACTGCATCCCCCGCGAGCGGCGAGCGCCCTGCTGATCTTGGCCTCTGCCCGAAGCACGAATGCAGCAGTGGCCTTCACGTTCTGCGTATGTGTTTCAGGCTAACTTCGGAAGCGAAGCGCCACAAGTCGCACAGTGCCTCTGGAATACCGACCTTGTCGCACAGTCTCCTGGAGGCATCAGCATCGATGACCGAGCAGCACGAAAACAAAAAACACAGGCGACTTCGAACTTTAGACCCTGCAAGGACTCGTCTCCGGCTTCCATGTCGACCCAAACTGTCGATTTCAAAGAGGGAGACCTACAAACGGCGGGCGGATCACATGAATCGTTAGTCTGGCCGACTTTGATTTGGTACCCTAGTTGTGATGATTTAACAGTTCCCCGAACCAAACATTGCTCATGTGCTCAGTGGCGGACAGCCCGAGCGGCATGCCCAGCATCCCACGTCCCACAAGGAGACCAAGCCTGGTCCGAGATTTTGGGACGAATCAATGCATGAAATCCAGCAAGACAGCCAAGTTTCAATGGCCATTTGCGAGTGCAAGTCCCAAAACGCAATCCGAACAAAACAAGCAGCTTTCATGAACTGAAAGGCACATCAAAGCTTCACGGGAGTGCCCGGGAGGGGAGACATGTTCCTCAAATCCCGGTACAGCCCTGGTGGTTGCTTTTTTGAACTTGCCTGTACCCATCGTCAACAGAGTTTTCAAAGAGCGAAAGTGGCCGGCACAGACTCATAAGCACGCTCGACCCAAGAGAGCCCTTTATGCCTCTACAAGAGATCACACATAGGCTGACCTCAACATCGACCTGCAGGGCAAGAACCGCCGGTTTCCACCCAAGTGTTCAGCAAGGAGCCTGTTGGGCCAATTTCAAACGGAATTACTAGTGCCTTTCCTTCTCTATTCTGTGACGTGTTGCCCCTCTCTCCCCCAGGCTGCGCCGATTCCATAGACCCACATAGACCCACGCCAAGGGCGAGCAGCGATTGAGGTGGAATCCATACATGAGCGACGTACCGAGCTCAAGCATGTGAGATTCAGTGAGAAATCACAGCGCAGCGATCGCCACCACCTAGGCTTTGCTTAAGGCATGAACGGTTTTGCACTCGACTCTCCCAATGCCATCGAGCATTGCTTCTGGACGTGTTCGTGGACGCCGTCTTCGGATCACCTTTTCTTGTCATTTGTTTTCTCAAGTCGCTTTCAAGTACAGTCCTGAAAAGGAGGCCCCTGACTGTGAAGTCGGATGTGATGCACATCAACAGGAGGATCTAGTCTTGCCAGCTTGCCAGATCGCGTTTGTGTGGCGCGCCTTGAAAAATCTGTCCACAAAGGCTTCGAGATGTACCATGAGCTGACCATGACCTTGCAGAGGGGACGCCCTTCTATGCACACTTGCAGTCAGCAACACTCCTGCAAGGCGCAAGATGACTGTGCAGGTAGGCCCTCGACAGGACAAGCTCGCATCCGCCAAGGAACAGAGCGCCTGTCCCTGCAGAGGCTGCGCTGAGGGGCAACCAACCCATGCTGTCCGCGTTGCTACCGTGCTGTGGTGACAACATGTGGCGACCGCATGGTGGGTCCTGCAAATCACTAGCTCCGTGTAGAACGGCGTTGGATAGCGCATCCAACAGCGGCCTGGCTGCTGAAAGGAGCTTGTAGACGCATGTGGCAGCAAACTGATGCACAAAGCTTCACTTCCACTGAATTGAACGTCTTTGTTTAAGAAACCTGTGGGTGCTTCGACAAGAAGAGGTGTGTTCTCGAGTGATTCAACCGAGCATGATATCAACATGATCTCACCGGGACATTGAAGGGTTTTTTGATTTGAGCATGACTGATCATGCAGAGTTGCTGCAGAATCTGTTTGCGAACATTTCATGGGCCTGGTCATCATACTCGATTCCACAAGCCTCCACCTTCCGAGCACATCACGGCAACATACTGCAACAGTGGAGGAAGCAGCAGGCAGCTGGATGGAGTCGTCAACTGGCCTCGCGTTGGCCGGCTCCTGAGGCGAAGGCTGCAGTACCTCTTCCGGCAGAGCGAGGGCTTGGTCAGCTGCCCGTGGCTTCAACATCTTACGCCGTCTAAGATACCCGATTGCAAATGAAAATGAATGCCTTGAACGTGGCCCGCTCCGAAGCTGCATGAAGCAAAGCAATGCCTGCCTGGGACAGCATCAAGGACTCCAAGGACCACTAAGAACCACTCCCAAATGCTGCTGCCAACTGCAACCCCGAGGTTTCTGGGGACCAAGCGTAACTGGACACTGCTGGGCCCCGTGCCAGGTTGCACCTCAAGGCCGGCAAGCTGACGTCGACGTGCAGACAGAGTGCAGCCCGCTTCATGCAGGAAAATGCGTCCAGAGCTGGACACTTCTCATCTGCTTTCACACTTCTCACACCAGCTGAGCAGCTTCATGCAAGTCTCTGGCACACACGCACACCTCCGCCTGGTGTGATGGATGCTCTCTGGCCCTGGCAGGTTTTGTGCATCGAGCTCCTCAAGATGCCCAACCTTGATTCGGGTCAAGAGACGTCGCAAATGCAGTGTGCTTGCACAGGCATCGGGCTAAGGATGCCACACAGTGCGCAGCTGTAGCTTCCACCACCGGACCGTTCCAAACCTGCTCTAGAAGGACTCTCAACAGCTCCATCTGCAACTCTGCCAAATGTGAGTATGAAATCCCTCCGGCTTGACTTCAATACTACACGGAACACCGGCTGCAACCAAGCTTTGTTTTAAAAGGTGATGTCGCAGCGCTGCAGCGATAGCAAATGGGCTTGAAAGATCTTGAAAGCTCCGCTGGGCTTCAAACCATGAGTGCTGCAAACGACCACGCTGAGATCGCGCAGTCGACGTGCCCGAAGTGCTGCACCCGCAGCAAGGCCTGTGAGGTGGTGAGATATGGTGTCTCATGCGTTCGGCCGCCATGGGGGCCTTGCCTCCTTCGCAGGTAAGCCAATGACAGGAAGGCCTTAGCTCACAAAGTGACCCCGTCGACATCGCCAACATCCGGCATTTTTCCATTTTTCGCTCGGAGCGCGGCCTCGCGCCCTCACCGCTGCCTCGACATTTCTGCGGCGGGGTCAGAACCGACAGCAGGCCGAGGCACGGGCATGAGACCACGCGATGTTTGTGATGTGTTGGGCATCGAAGCCTGACAGACCTGGCCGCTTTAGTCTCGACACGATGTGCCACGTGATGCTTGAATGCACTCCGTGGCGTATGCTAGGGCTCGTGCTGCTGCTCATCGACACGAACATGCCAAACAAGTCCTGGCAAATCGAAGGCACTTTGCGTAGTCAAGCTATAATTCGCCTCGGCCTCCGGCCGGGAGGTGTCTGGAGCAAGCAAACAAACCCAACACACACCTGTAGGACCTGCCAAAATCGCCTGCAGAGCTGCAATCCAATGCCGTGCTGCGAGGGTGGGTTGGGGCAAAAAAGGTGAGGAGTGGTTTTGACGAGGTTTTCTGAGCCCCCCTGCAGCGTCCACGACCTTTTTGCTGCCATCTTGACTTCTTGGCAGCTCCCACCACCCTACCAAGCTTCAAGTGGCAACACAAGAACATGAGCACAGACGTCAACTGCACCGAAGTTTTTTGCACTGCCTGCTGACACTGCAAGCTCAAACAAGGCTTCAGGGGTCCTCCAGCAAGCCTGTACGTCTCCCAAGCTTACTTACGCTGCGGGTTCAAGGACTTCCTCGACCCGCGATCGCTATCCGCATCTGCAGCCCGACCGTGCGGACTGGATACTCCCAGGTGCGCCTCGTAGACTGCGCTATACTATATACCTAGTTCGGGTCCTGTACCCTCGAGTGAAATCGTTGCACATCTCTTGGGTTGGGCCGGCGCTGCCAACGCGCAAGCGTTTACAATGCATTCTGCCGAGGGAAGTGAGAGCTGGTTGCCGGGAAATGCTCGACGATTGCAGCCCTCCTCGTTCATGCTTTCCATTGTGCCGAAGGCCCGCAAAAGGTTGGAGGCATTCTGTGGCATCAGTTCTGGCCTGGAAGAGGCCCATAGGCCCTCGCTAGCGCTCGTCAGCCCTCGCTCCCTCAGCGAAAGCCTTCATCTCCGCACCTCTTCTTTGCTTGCGTCATGATCAAGTGGAGCAGAGGCGGGTGGCAATGGCTCGACGTGGCCGTTGCTCAGGCGCTGTTTGACCTACAACGACAACACCAGCAACTCTACGTTCTGTCGCGATGCGCTGGAACACGACAAAAATGTGCAAAACACCGTTTCGCAAGCGCACGTCTCCAGTGCCGCCAGAACTACAACTCAACCCCTGAGGCGCCCGCAAATCTTGCGCGGAAGAGCTGTCGATACCTTCCTGCGTTTGGAAGGCTGTGCAAGGCTGCTGACTACAGGCTGCGTACTGCGAGAACCAAACGATTCCTGCCCCAGAGCCGCAAGGGCATCAAGGAATGTCTCCGATCGGAGGGCCGAGCTTGCCATGGCCTGTGACCTCTGCGACATGCTGAATGACACCTCACGGGACCTCACATGCAAGAACCCAGCGCCAGGGCCGCCGCAAGTTGGATGGGCCCTGCGAATCAAAGCTGGCCATCTGTTCCAAAGCCTCTCCGAGACTCAAC